TTTGCAATTTCGCAAAACTTTAAACTTTAAACCCTTGTAACTTTTTTACTACTTAATCGAAAATGATAATTTTCGATTTTTTTAAAGTCTTGGATATTGTTTCAATTGTAGTTATTAATAAAATTTTATAAGTGAAATTGCACAAAAAGAGTTTTTTCATAAAATTGTTCGTACCAACAGCTAAATGGTAAAACTTAACAAGAAGAAAAATTAGCCTGCGTATTTAGTGTTTTATACTCATTTCAGGCCTCAGAAATAGGACTTTCATTTATTTTAACAACAAAAGTAAATTGAAATAATATAAGGACATTTATTACTTTATAAATATATGGTACATAAATTCATGGGTATAAGCCATATTGCTTAACATCACTTCTAGTCAAGGCAGTTAATTCTTTTAGTACAATCTATAATATTTCTTCCTAGATAAATCTTGATTATAACAGTGCTGTTTTAGTTTGCAATTTTCACATAACCCTTAATAGATTCGTGCAAGGCATTACGAGCCTTGCAAAGAAACTGTGATTTTTTCAGACGTGATTCACTATTCGAATGTGAAATTAAGAATTTATTTTTTTAATTTTTTACTTAATGAATTTGTTTATATAATTGTTCCGACCTTAGAGGAAAGTGTTATGTTATTAACATCTTGTCATGGTATTAACATATGATATTGGAAATGACATAATATTTGTAATTGCTTCTTCTTCTTCTTCTTTATTTGCCAATTCGATTTCGAATATTGGTGATCATATAACATAACAAAACATAATACTATATTGTTTAATTAACTTTTGATAAACACAATTACAAATTTTTTACTATTTCTGCGTTTTGCTCTCTACATCTAGCTATATTTATAAGGTTGCCAACCTCTCGTATGTGGGTCCATTGACGAATGTTTCGCAGCCATGAAAATTGTTTCCTACCAATACCGCGTTCCCCTGAATAATCATTTGGAGTAGCTCGTATTTTGATTTTCTCATGATATGTCCTAGGTAGGCTGTTTTCTTTTTTATGCTCTAGGTAGGCTCTTCTTTTTATAGTTGTTAACAATTTGCGATCACATCTCATTCTTCGTAACATTTCATTATTTGTAACATGGTCTGTCCATGGAATTTTGAGAATTCTCCGAAAAATCCGTAACTCAAATGCTTCGAGCTTGTTAATATCAACAATTTTCAAATTCCAGGTTTCCATGGGTGCTAAGAACTTTTTTGTATTTAAGAAAAGTATTACATACTATTTCTAATCGGCATTTGATCTCTTTCGAACAATTCCAATTTATGTTATACTCTTTCTACAGCAATATTGTTATTCATTAAATTTGTGTTGTTATAAATATTTTTTGGGTTTACAATCAGATATTTTGTTTTATTTATGTTTATTCGTAGCCCATATTGTTCGCTAGTGGCGTTAACCCCGCTTACTAGCTCTGATAGGCCGCTTAGATTATCGGCAATAAAGCGATGTGATCTGCGTATCTGATGTTAATGAAAACGCCGTTTACTTTCACACCATGTTGAATATCACTAATGAATTCTTCAAATATTTTTTCTGAGTGTACATTGAATAACAGTGGCGACAATATGCCTGTCTATCTCTTCTGTTATATCACCATCGATATTTGCATGCGCAGTTTGTTGCCAGTACAAATTATTAATGCATCGGATTTCCTTGTCATCAATATCAATGTTTTGAAGAATTTCAATAAGTTTTACATGTTTCACGTTGTCGAACGCTTTCTCGTAGTCTATCGACAGAGAACAGAGAAAAACGTCTTTGTGAACATCTTTGCAGTTTTGAACTAAAATTTGAATATATAATAGTGCTTCCCGAGTTCTAAGTCCTTCTTTAAAATAAAATTTCTTTCTGACAACGAGTCCACGTAAGATTTTATAACTGCATAATATGATGTTAAGAACATAACATAACATCCTTGCAGCTCTTTTCCCTTATAGTGTGTCCTAATATCCATATGGTAAATAGTTTGTTTGTATTTACTATTTTTAAGGTATTAAAAGTATCTTCAGCTGGTTACAAAACAACTCAGTACATTAATAACAGTCTGGATATTAGAGAGTACACTGATCACTCTATATCACTCTATATCTTGATCACTCTATAACAATTCAAGATTGATGATTTTTTTAACTTGTCTTAAACTGAAAGATGCTTGAATACTCTATTAGTGGTTCAAAATGTCTCCATATATTCCATATAGTTACCATGTTCCACCACAGAACACATTTTATCACATTTTAGATCTAAAGTTACAAGATTTTGAAGATATAGATAAACTGCAACATTATTTACATTTTTAGCGAGAAAATTTTAAATCTTCCTGTAACAATTCCAAAAACCATATAATATATATATACAGAAAACAATATATATATAGAAACAAACATATACAACGGGCAAGAGAGATCCGGAAAGCAAAATCTTTTGGGCAAAGGAAAGAGCAAATCGCGTTATTTGGAATAATCAAAGAGAAATATTGCTAAAACAGTAAAAGCATAGAAATACATTCACAACCTATAAAGAAAAACAAATGTCAAATAGAGTCCATCTATAAATGTATGCACCCCACAGTTAGCGCAGATGTTTGAGGTACAAAACAAATAAAATAGGACTACAACGGTGGCGATTATAGCCAACATAAGTCTACAGTATATGTAGGTCTTACAATTTGGATGAAACAAAATATATTCATCACTTCTTAAAAACAATAAATACGAGTATTTAAATATATAAGGGAATTCAGAATAATGTATTTTGAATCAGTTAAACTTTTTTATTGAGTAAAGATGATATCATTAAACGATCATAAGGAGGATGTCTAAGAGAGACTAACCAATTACTTAAAAAATGCAATAAACTATAAACAATATTTAGTATCATATCTAGTGTCAGTTTTTAAACTTGTGTTTCAATAATATTGTTCAATTTGATTTTAGACTTATGAACTGATCCGGCAATTCGTTTTTTTCTTCAAAAAATTAGTAATAAAAAATTGTAGAAAAGCCAAACTAATTTCATTTCAGGTTGAATATATTCTATTGAATATTCTATTTTATTTCTATTGAAATTTGTATTAATTTTGCAAACTGAATTTTTTAATCTCACACAATTTTAGCACTTGGAATTCGAATAGGATGAACTATTCCTAAATTCGGATTGCTCCATTATTAACTTTATGGCACTTCATGAACACCATCACTTCAACATCACATGAACATCACTTCAAAATCGTATTTTTGAAGAAAATGTTTTTACACAAAATCTTACAGATACTCTTGTATGGAAGAATTTAAAATATTACTTTAGTATTGTTTAAATCGAAACACAGCTATTTATGTAGTATTTTATTTTAGTTTTATTGAAACAATCTTATTTATTTATTTATTTATGTTTTGTACAACTTTATTGATTGTTCTTGCCTTTGTGCTGAACTTTTATAATTCAAACAAGTGGAAAATTTATGTAAACAATTAAAAATATTTTGCACAATTTATTTAGTGGCGTTCTTCGGTTATATAACGAAATTAATATTAAACAAAAAACCTATACATGAAGCAGTTTTCTATGAAGCCATTGTACCATATCTAAAGAACTTTTAAGAATCTTATGTACGAGTATTGCTAAATCTGTTTTATTTTGTTTATATTTGAAAGTATCTCAAAATACCTACACATCACAAAGTATTTTCGTTGTTCAGTAAATTAAAACATAAACAACTATTACCAATGAGTTAAGCTAAAAGTAATTCTGACCAATAATCATAATACCTACATCATATACCTACAGTTTATTAATAATAAAATATAAGATAATTTGATTTAGAATTTAATATTTGTAAATTTTAGAGAAACAGAAAATAGATGTTATAGTGGTCTTATATATAAAAACGAATTGATAGATCGGTAGATAGATAGATAGATAGGTAATATGGCGTAATAAACCCCCAACCCAAATATTCTTTTGAGGTCAGCGAAGTTTAATCTAATCGAAGTGCATCCTAAAATATAAAGTTATTAATAGAAATTAATTCGTTGGATCAGTACCCTCTTCATTGTTCCTCAGTCATTGTTTGCTAAATTTGAACGTATGACGTATGGTTAAACAAAGCGTGGGATACAAATATATATCTATTGAAAAATATAGAAAGGTAGAAATATTCTAATTGCAAAAATTTTATTTTATCTAAGTGTTTTTGTTGAATATACAACTGTTTCTAATATTATCTAATATTAATTATCAAATATCTTTGGAAATATTTAAAGATTTAATCGTTCGTAAATATTCGTATTGTTTCGACTTCAAGTATCGGAAATTTTTAAACAATAACTCTTTAAACAATTTGAATAGTCTGTTCACGACTAGAACTAAAAGGCGGCTTTCAATTTCAATAGATTGAAATGGATAACTGTTGAAACGAAAAGAAAAAGCCATATACTTAGGAGTTTTACTGGAGGGTAAGTATTCTTGCAAAATGATGTTTGACAAAAAATGAGGAATTCGTTTCGATATTACACATTGGAGCAAGCCTTCAACACTCAGAGTGCTACAGTGCTACAGACCTTTATATAAAATCTGTGAAATTGCCTAAATCCAATACAATAGATCCAGTTTTTATATCGTTTGGTTTCTTGCGAGAAAATAATAGCTAAAGAATCAATTAAGAATGTATAGCCTGTGTTTGATCCTTTTATGTAGATATAAAGCAGGTCGATCCAGGGGTTTACGAGTCCATTTGGTACAAACAGAAAACAACTAAATTCTTGTTTACAGTCTTTAGTATATACAATTTTTTATTCTATATTGTATATACATATCTTAAAATGTTATTAATCATTCAAATATTAAAACAATAATACTCAAACCTTAGATGATTGAGCTTAAAATTTATAGTTATGTATTTATTTAAATAATTATATTTATAGTTATATTTATTTAAAAATTAATAATATATTAATTTAAAATTTTAAATTAATTAGGTCAAACTACATGCTACACCACCGAGTCCACAAGAACACAATTCTCTGCAGAAAGAAATCAGATCAACTAAAAGTGTCTACATACCAAGGTATCAAATAAGTAAAAAAGCAAGTTACCATATATGTATACATATATTATGGATATAATTTACACTATTCAATTGATACTTTCAATATTTTTATACTGTAGATTTTATTTTCCACATGGCAAACCACAGCCAACCATTGCCTTGGAACGCACTTTGCGATCATTCATATCCGCGTTTGATTCATATCCGAATAATCAAGTAACTAAGGACGAACTGCCACGCATATTAAAATTGTGCGGTTTACCGTTTTATTGGCGTATGCCAGTTTTACTTTTCTGTCAACAGGGAAATTCCGGTTTAGTAGAACGACAACGTTTTGTGGAGTTTTGGAAACAGTAATTATTAAAATTGACTTTGTTAAAATAAATTAAAATCAAATTTGTATTTTTTTGTAAATTTTGAGAATGAATGTTTATTGTCATGATGCTGCATCGCGATTTGTGTACATACTTTCCCGTGGGCAACGATTTCGATCATACATACTTCCGGAAGATTTAGCGCCTTTGGTGCAAGATGTAGTCGATACACATCCAGGATTAGCGTTCTTGAAGGAAGCTATAGAGTTTCATTCCAGATATGTGCACACAGTTATAGCCAGAATATTTTATACTGTAAATCGTAGTTGGTCGGGTAAAATTTCTATTTCAGAACTAAAGAAATCAGATCTTTTGGAGGTACCAGAAAACTTCTTTAGCAAAACTTCTTTCGGTGATTTAAAATGTAACTCAACAATTACAGATTATATCGCTACTTGAAGAAGAAGATGACATAAATCAAATTATGGCCTTTTTTAGTTATGAGCATTTTTATGTTATATATTGTAAATTTTGGGAGTTGGACAAGGATCATGACTTACTTATAAGTCAAGATGATTTAGCAGGACACAGTGATCATGCATTGTCAACACGTATTGTTGAAAGAATTTTTTCCGGTTGCGTTACACGGAGTGACAATAAGAAAAATGAGGATGATGAACCAAAAATGTCATACACCGATTTTGTTTGGTTTTTACTATCGGAGGAGGATAAACGTACGCCAACTGCTATTGAGTACTGGTTCCGTGTTATGGATATTGACGGTGATGGAATGTAAAGCTTAAAATAAAATAAAAGCAAAAAATACATATATAATACGTATTTATTTTAGATTGTCTATGTACGAATTAGAATATTTCTATGAAGAGCAACAGCAACGTATGGAATCGATAGGTATTGAAACGTTACCTTTTGAAGATTGCTTATGCCAGGTAAGCGTTTGAATATATATATTTTCCATATTATCTTAAATCGACCTACTTTTTTACACTATTTACAATGGTCAATACTTTAAAAAAAAATAATAATTTTCAGATGCTTGATATGATAAAACCACAACGTCGAGACGCAATTACACTAAGCGATTTGAAGCGTTGTAAAATGACGCACATCTTTTTCGACACTTTCTTCAATTTGGAAAAATATTTAGATCATGAGCAACGCGATCCTTTTGCATCACAAAGAGACGAATATGTGAGTTTTGAAATTTTATATATGTACATGCACATTTTTAAGTCACGAATAAATATTTTTTACAGACATCGGATTGGGATCGTTATGCTGCGCAAGAGTATGAACTTTTGGTAACCGAAGAAAATGAATAATTTTAGAATTTCTTTCAAAATCTTCTAAACAAAATTATATCATTTTTATTTAGAACATATTTATAATTATTTAATTTCTGTATCATCTTTTGTTAATACATTATCAAAGCAACTAATGCGTCATCAAAAAAGTAGTGTACTATAGTCTAATTCATTAAACCTATTTTGGTAAAATTTAATTAAGTATTTTTTTTTAAACTTTTATTACCAAAAACAATTTAAGTCTTAACATTGTTACTTTCAGTTGTTAATTTATTATATATTTAAAAATTTTTTATTTAAAATAAAATTTGATACTAAATTGTATTTATTCTAAAATATTTAATTTTAAAAATACAAATCCTACAATTGAGAATTATTCCTATTACTGATTTTAGATTTTCTTTATCATCAGCAATAAATTTTATAACTTTAAGTTTTTTTTTTGTTGTTACAACTAAAAATATACACATTCACATTTTTTCTTTTTTTCTTTTTTGTATTGTTTATATAAATTTTAAAGTAAAACAAAATGTTAACAATTAATAATTTTTTATCTATTGCGTTAAACGAACTTTATCATTTTCGCTATCTTCATAATTTTTACTCTCATTGTCATCAGCAGCGGATGCTACGTCCTTCTTTATATATGTTGGTTGAGCTTTTCCTTTAACATATGGAGCTGTAATATGCACTTCTTTAATATCTGAACCAGGAACCACAAACATTGGGTCGAGCAGTAATTGTTCCTAATAAAATGAGTAATTAAAAAAACAATTTAATAATTTATAAACATCGACATAAATATATATTAAATATACCATTATTGAACGTAATCCTCGAGCACCTGTCTGTCGTTCCATCGCCAAAGTTGCAATTGACTCTATTGCATCATGAGTAAATGTTAAATCAACTTCGTCCATGCTTATGAGTGCTTTATACTGTGGTATCAGTGCGTTTTTAGGTTCGGTAAGAATACGTACTAACATACTAACACTGAGACTATGAAATGGAACTATTACAGGAAATCGACCCACAAATTCCTATGAAAAATAGCATTTCAAACATTTTATATAGAATACTGCAAGAACGATAACTTACTGGTATCATGCCAAATTCCACGAGATCTCGAGCTTGTACTTTCCTAAGACATTTATCTCTTTCTTCTTGATCACTATCCATCGGTGATGCACATGATTGAGCAGCACGCCTACCTGAGGAACCCGATGACGGCATACCAAAACCTAAATACTGTGTATAGGGGGAAGCTAAAATTATTCAAATTTTGTAATAATATATATGTTTGGTTACCTTTTCATTCAATCTTCTACCGATTAGGCGATCCAAACCTGTGTACGCACCAGACGCAACAAAAAGTATGTTCGTAGTATCTACTTGTACAGTTTCGCCTCGCAATTTTCGAGGTGAATTACGTTCAGGTACATTAACAATGGTACCTTCAAGCATTTTTAGCATACCTTGCTGTACGCCTTCACCACCAACATCACGTAGTTGATGTATACCTGGGACAGCACCAATTTTATCAACTTCATCAAGAAACACTATACCAGTTTGAGCACGCTCAACACTTTAAAAATATAAGTAAAATCGTTAACATAAATAAATATTGATACTAATAGGTATATTTGAAAATTTACTTGTAGTTGGCATCCTGTAATAGCTTTGAAATTACACTTTCAATATCTTCTCCTACATAACCTGCTTGTGTTAGAGTTGTACAATCGCATATTGCAAACGGCACATCTAGACAACGTGCAATAGTTTGGGCTATTAATGTTTTACCCGAACCTGTGGGTCCCAACATGAGAATATTGCTTTTTTCTAATTTAACCTCGTAATTTTGTTTTTCCAAAATTTCAGAGCCAGTTTCAGTATGATTTGCTGTGCCTAATCCATGTGCTAGTGTAGGCTTTTGTGGAACTTCCGTACCCGAAGAATTAGCAATTGTATGTCCAATACCAGAAATATGTAATAAATCGCGTCCCATAGCATCTGCTGTGGTGGAAGGCATTTGTGGCTGTGTATTTACTTGTGGCAAATTGTGATGTATACGTTTATAGTGGTTATATACAGCAACAGAAAGTACTTTTTTTGCAAAATCTTGACCTACAACATGACGATCCAGATATTCCATAATTTTTTGTGGAGGAGGTGGTGGTTTTCGTTGATTTTTTGCTTCTTCTTTTAAATTTTTTTTTGAATCCACCTCGGACAGCACAACAAAGAAATGATTACATTTAGCGCATTTCACAAATCTTGTTGAACTAACAAAAGTTTCCACTTGTGAGCAAGGATTACCACATTTTGGACATGAGAGCATATTTTTATCAGTTGGTGGTTCTCCACCAGCTGAGGAAGATGAAGCTGAAGAGCCGCCACTGTCCACACCACTTCCACTTGAGTGACCATTTCCACTACTACTACTACCTGAACTTGTGGTCGATGATGCGACGCTATTTCTTCTGGCATTTACGGCCAAATGCATACAGCGTTGGTTGAATACATTATGGCTGCAGCAAACTCCTGTTAAATACAATAAACGACAGATTTTATAAAAAGTTTAAGTTTAATAATATTACAATACGAACAATTTTTAATAACTTTATTTTTGTTTCATACATTTTGGTAAAATGTATTCTTTCTAATAAGTTGTTGTTATTAATTACTTTAAAAGCTAAACTTAGACATAACTAATTTACAAGTATTTTGTTTAAAATTTTAAATTCAAGTTCAAATAATATTAAAATAATATGAGACTGAAAATTTAAAACAAAAATAAAATAACGTTGTTGACCTTCATCGCTTGTGAAAAGAAAGGGGGGCCATAAAGTAAGAATATTGACAAAACGTCATTAATTTTTTAAAAATAAAATCAAAATTATTTATTTTTTATTTTAAAACAGTTTCTTATGATAACAAGCAAAACAAATGTTTTTATTTTTGTTTTACTGGTGACTCTTGTGAAAAATATAATTTAAAAATAAATTACCTATCTGGCATAATTGGGTCCAGTCTTCCTGAACTGACCACTTGGGACATCATAAATTTTTAAAAATTGAAAACAAAGGAAACTCTACTCTACGAAACGTAACAGTCATAAATGGTAAATTTTTGCAAATTTTAGCAACGCAATTAAGGATTTTTTAATTACAGATTATATTTTGAAATTACTATGCACCAAACATATAAATACCCGTTCTATACTAAAATATTAACTTACCTCTTAACCAATAATAATGTACAGCAAACTTTGGAAGCTGCGATGATAGCAGAACAATACGTCGCACCACACTCATAACTACACTACCTCAGCTGTGCCCACAAGTGTTAAACTTTCAGACTGTCTTTATTTTACTGTAATGTTTATATATTTTAAGTAATATGAACAAAATATTTTATATTTCGGCAATATTTCTCGGAATTATTAATGTGTTGTATTTAATGTCAAAATAAATTACTTTTCACTTTATTTATCAACCTCTCTAGCTCACAAGTTCATGATTCTACGAAAAAATACAAATGTCAGCAAAACAAAACAGTGTGATGTGTTCAGTTAAATCCTAGATAAATATTTTTTCATAAAAATGTCAAAAAGAAATTTAAACATCTGAACAGCTGATTATCAAAATCTACAATAACGAAATTTACATACATAAATCAACGTTACAGATGTCAACATTACAATACTTTTTATAAAAAGTATTATTATACAATTATTTTTTCGTATGATATTAAAAATAATGCTAGTTTAAATGAATAAAAAACAACATTTTTTGGAGTACGTTTATTTTTTTTAAAATCCTGGTATAATTCTACCTTTCTTTGATAAATTTTTAAGTTTTTTATTCTTTTTATTTTTAATGCGTTTGTCAATGTTTTCTTGTCGTTTCTTCTGCCTATGTTCAATACCAGACTCCATTTTTTGTTTTCGATCCACCCACTCCTTCTTGGACTTCTTTTTTTCAACTTTTCGCTTTTTGATGGCTTTGTATAATAATTTTGGATCGTCTTTGACTTTTTTACCTTCGACTTTATCAAATGCTTTATTCCAAGCTATTTCATTTCTCATTTCAGCAGCTTTTTCCACTTCCCCTTTTTCATTAAGTTCATTAATTTTTTTGCCAGTTTCTTTAATTTTTTTTAAAATTTCTCTTGGATTCTGATGAGATTTCTTAACATTAGCACCAGGATGTGGTGCAAAATCAAATTTAGAAAACACCATTTTTCCTTCTTCATTAAATACTGGCTTAGCTGATATATGTTTTTTATCCTCAAACGGAACGGATTCTTCTGTATTCATTTGTTTTTGGTTTTCATTTTTAATAGACTTAGTGGCCGAAACAAGAACTTTTTTGAACTCCTTATTCTTTTTAAGTTTTTTTGCCTCGCGTTTCTTTTGTGCGCGTTCTGAAATAGGCCGCTTTTTTGTTTTTAGTTTATTCTTTATCATATCGAGCCGATCTTGTAATTCATCAACGGATGCAGTATTGTTTTTAATAGTTGCTTTTTTATTACTATTTAGCAAAAATTCCTCGTAATCAGTTTCTAAAATAATGGATTTAATATTTTTATGCTTTTCCAATGTATAAATAAATACCTATAGTGTCAGGCACATTATGTGTAATCAACATATCCATAATTTTCTCATTTTCTGCTTGCAGCAACTTTAGCATATCTTTCCTTTTTAATTTTTGGGACATTTTGTACTTTTATAGTTAATATAAACTTACTTTTACAAATTATTTAACAATCGTTAATGCACGTGCGTGAAAAAAAAACAACATTTAAGTGTCAAAGTTGATTACTAAATGTAAGCAAGATAAATTTTGTAGCTAATGCTTGTATGTTCAGTGAACGCATAGTATTACACTTAAAAAAAATAAATATTTTAATGTATGAATGTCTGTCATCATATTGCTTCAAATTACATCGCATTGCGATTTTGGTGTTTTTAATTGTTCAAATCGAAGTGGTTCTGCATATTTCGCATATAATTGTATTAATTCGTTTTGTAGTGATTGAGTATACGGTAAACCTCGTAGTAATAACGTGTTCAAAGAAATCACTCCTACATGAATTCAATACTCTTTTAAATAAATTTGATCAGAGGCTATATTTTCATTAACATGTAAAAGAGTTTACAATATATGAAAATGGTTATTATATATGAATCTAATCATAGGTTTTTGTTTAGATTTGTAGTAAGTGAAAATGAAAATGTTGCTTTAAAAAACATGTAAAGTTCACAACATTTGTAAATATATGTTTACAAATAAAATATATACTAATTGCAAGTTTAAACTTTCTTTAACAATTATTATAACATATATTTTTTATTCATTATGTTCATTTTCGATTGTGGTGTGTTATATTAATTTCTATCTACTCTCAATTTTTGCTTGAAATTTACTTTTTCGTTTATTTGCATTTGAAATGTATAAACTTGAAGGATTTAACCACTTTAAGTTCACATATATATGTAAGAAAAAGTTTTTATATAGTTGAACTTTACAATATTTTGATTTTTTGAATATTTAAAATAGCAAAACTCTATACTGTTTTTTGTTTACAAATCGAACGTTAAAAATTACATGCTCAAAACCTTTTTGTATCTGGGCTTTAGCTTTAGTGTATTTCGGTTATGTAGATTATTATTTTTCACTCTATTTTAAATTAAAAACTGTTACAGTTTTTTCTTTATATTCAAATTTAAACATTTGCACTGCTTTCAAAATATTTTCCCGGTTTTATTAAAGTCAGATGTTTTTAAAAATAAATGAAACTTTTTGGTTATCTCAACTTTTCTTTTGTTTAAAATTTCAACGAAATAAGGCCATTTTCCATAATTTTGTTTAACCTTAAAACTGAATTTCGTATTTTGTGGAAAACGTAACTTTTATTTTTATTTCTTTTTGTTCCATTGATATTACAACTATCATAGATATCTAGTAATACTTTTAACAAAGAAAAATTTGGTAGTTTGAGTTATCTTAAATCATTATTTATTATTTATCATACAAATTTCAATACATTTCATAAATAAATAAATAAATACATAAGTAAATAAATAAATAAATAACATAAATAAATAAACAAATAGATAGATAAAAAAATAAATAAATAAATAATAATAATAAATTAATAAACATAAACAATTTTATTTTATTTTTTGTGAAGTAAAGAATTCAACTTAATTTAATACTTAAGTAGGTTGGAAGTATACGTTTTAGACATTTTTTGTACCCTAGTTCCAAGGCAAGAAGTCTTCTCATTTCTAAGTTTGTGTGCTGAAGCAATTTAGATAAGTGGTTAGCACTGCTTTTTTTAATTGTTTCATGTATAGTAGGGATATTTGTTATATTTGTGAATATCGTCATTTCTGATGTACCATCTACCATCTACTATCGTTCGCAGGATTTTTGATTGCAGTCTTTGGATAGTATTTATATTAGTCTTGCAGGTGATTCCCCATATTCCAATTTCATATTTACAAATCGGAACAATAACAGTTTTGTAAATTAATAGTTTGTTATATATTGAATTGACAGACTGAAATTTTTACCAAGAAGCCAATATAGATCTGCAAATCTTCGATAAGCTTTTTTTTTCTTCTGAATTATGTGCTCCTTCCAAGTCAGCTTTTGATCTTATAGCATGAGGGATACCGGCTTCTATTTTTATCATGTGGGATGGGTCGTTTTGGTATTGCACAAAGAAATATCTATCTTTAAGGTAGCTCTTCAGTAGTAAATAATAATTGGCCGGCAATATTCTTGATAGTTTGTAAAGCAATCCTTCGTGCCAGACGCTGTCGAATGATTTAGCTACGTCAAAAAATACACACAAAGTGATCTTCTTAGAGTCTACATTCATTGCAATTTTGCTAGCCACTCGATGAATTTGCTGAATTGTAAAATCCTTTTTACGAAATTCAAATTGGTGATTTGGCAATAGGTTGTTTTCTTGTATTATTGGTTCCAGTCGTGAGAAAAGAAGATTTTCGAATAGTTTAGATAAGATGGGTAATAAGCTGATCGGACTGTAAGAGTTGACAATTGAAGCATTTTTGTTTGGTTTAGGTATTGCTACAACCTTCGCTACTTTCCAAACAGAATGTATAATGTAAATGATAGCTATTACAGGCAATTCTAGAAGGAATCCAGTTATCTCATAATAGCCTGGTGATTTTTTGGGTTGATGTTAACGGCGATGATGGTCTTTATTTTAGCAATTGTTATCTTTTTAATTTTAACCTAATATTCTCAGCCTAATATTAGAGTCTGCAAAACTAAAATGTAAACAACAACTTATTACTATATTATAACTGTAATGAAAATGTAAGAAATGTGTTTCAAAATACTATATGTATGTATGTATATATATTAAGTATCTACTTTAATTTGTTTTTCAGCTTTAGTTTAAGTGGATAATGGATAAGAGCATTCAATATATATTTAAATAAACATCACAAACATTTAGATGTGCTCTATCTATAATTTTAAAGAATCCATTGTATATTATTTATTTGACATATTAGCGTTAACTTAACACACCCATTTAATAATTGTAGTTATTTTTTAGCAATCGTCGGCGTAGGATGACTAATTTTTTGTGTTATTGGATAAAGAAGTATTTTATTAAATAAAATTTCAAATAAGTTGGTTTAAGATTAATATAAAAATAGTTGAAATTGAGAAAAAAAGCACGTAGCATAATGAAGAAGCAATTTACGAAAATAAAAATTGCCGCTGAAAATTTATCAAGGTAAAGAAAAATTCCAATGCAGCCGTAGTTGTACTTCTCAATGGCGGGGAGAAGCGAAAAATGTTATGTTCATATTTATTTTTACATTTTATTATAATCTTGAAATTTAATTTACAGATCCAATAAAAATGATCGTAAAGATTTTGAATTGGAGACTATTGAAAAACAAGTGGATAAATACCGTGAAGTATTAGATAAAATGGTTCGAAAATTGCCTACAGTTAGCAGCAATACAGACACACAGGAACGGGATAAACGTATTAAAAAAAATAGTCATTACAAAATCGGACAAGCTTTAGATGAATCCTCAAAAGAATTATCAAAGGAAATGCCATTATATCATGCTTTATCCAATTGTGGTGCGTATTCTTTGTAGAGACGAAAAATTTGCATGCCTGAAATTAAATGCTGCACTGTTAGCTAACTAAAGGGAGTGGTGTTAATGGGGTTGCGTCTGTGCTGTATTGATAAGGGTTGGCGTAGGTTTTTGCTTTCTGGGGGTGAGGTTGGGTAGTGGGTTGCATGTCTGTTGGTCTGTTTATTACTTGGCCTCACCTTGTCTGCATATGGCCTTGCGTATTATTTGTTTATCTTTTTTGTGCTTTTCATTTATTTATATATAAATATGAGTAGAATCTGAATCTATAGCTCTCACTTAAGTGATAATAAGTTTCGTTTACAATATAGAACAAAGTAGAATGAATAAATTTATTGATATTAATATATATGTAGACGTTTATTTTTCTATGGTATATATATAGTATATGTATTTAAAAATCTTTAAAACTTTTAATATGTTGTTTGATTATGTGATGTTTGATTTGAAGTATTTGTAATGTTGGTTGAATCATCTTAAATGTAATAATGTATTTGTGATTATTTTTTTTAATACATAAAAGCTTTAACAAGTTTAACAAACTATAAATTTATTTGTTTATGTTTATTTTACGTTTTCATATCTGCATTATTATAGTTAGTCAATATGTAAGGTAAACATTTTTAAACAAATTACACTTTTTTGTGTTGTTTTTGTTAAATGTTAAATGTTCTTTATTAAACAATTGCAGGGGAACTTGAAAAGTCACTTGCGGAGTGCATCGTTGACAGCGAATTGGAAACGGAAACTGAGGTGGTGCGACGGCTTAAATTAATATTAGAGAATGAAATACAAGAGATATCTACAATGAAGCGCAATGTTTCACGCACATTACAAGAATACACTTCACTCAAGCGCAGTTATGAGGTAGATATACTTTATAAGCTACTATAAGAAAATGTAAATGACTATATAATTTACTTTAATTTATTTATTTATTTTGTGTAAACACAATTCGTTTCCATAATGTTTCAAGATCAAGTAAATTGTTAATGTTAATTTTATCTATGAGTGTTATCGTTAGTTAAAATGTATAAATTGACATATATTGTTATTAAGACTGATAAGTTATTGAAACTGAATTATGTTTTAAGTGGATAAACCTATGAATTGAGTTACTTATGTTCGAAAGGAATGCAATTACAGTGCCTGGAATGTCTAAAGATGAAAAATACCTACAACGTGTAGCAAGAAGTGCCCTTTCTCAAACACCGCCATAGTTATGATGAATAGTTGTCATATATAAATATGTTTCTTTTTAATAAACTTACAATCTGTCTCTCTCCTTTTCATTACGTCACCAATCTGTGTTTATATCTCAACTTACCGATTTCTGTCGTATTGGTTTTATATATGGTTCCGTTCCGTTGAAGTGGTAATGTTATTTTACCTTGATTAGGGTTAGCTATTGTTAGCACTCTACATCTACATTTGTTTATCTAATACTACATACCCATTTATAGAGCGTTCTAATTGGCAGAGATATCAAATTGTAACAACGAATTTAAATATATATTAAATGAAACTCTAACCAAATGGAAACGAGTTTTATACAACTTATAACTTTTATAAAGTTAAGAAGTTGTTGTACTATTTAGTTATAATAATTATTTGAAAAAAAACTTTGGAAACACGCACTGAATGCTCATTTAGAAAGAGTATAGAAACAGCTTTGATTACTTGCAAAATAGTTGTGTGCGCTCTTTTCATTTACACACATTCAAATAGCATCAGATTTGGTAAAATTTAATACTGTGATTTCCAAGTGGTTGTTATCATATATTTATCAAACATTTTGATATCAGAACTTAATCAGTTGCTATTAAAATATATTTTTAGGCGTGTATTATATTCTAAGGGAGCATCAACATCACATCCCTCTCGATTTGTTGATGTTGTTTTTGTTGTAACTCTTCTTGAAATCTTTGATTTTCAATAGGTATCCGCTTGTGAAAAGTAGAATGTCTTTTTTCAAGTTAGGTCTAAATGAATGACATTGTTTTTTAGTTTGTCTTGTTTCTGAAAAATATGAACGCTATTAATTTATAGCTCTGTTACATTAAACTGTCAAGAGTCTTGAATGTGGATAAGGATGATATTTATTATTTTCTATCTATCTCACATTTATCTTGTATATATTAACACTCTTCATATTCCCATCAATTGTTTTTTACAACCTCCTTAATAGGAATGGTTTTTAAGATGATAATATTGCTAATATGACACGCACTGGGCTTATAAACCACTGACTGTATTTCAAGATAGGTTATATTTACACAAAAACATGTAAAGAACTGTAGATTATCGATAAAATATTTTTAAATTAAACTTGTTTTTATAATTTTTACGTGATATGATATGAATTTGATACTACATTTTACATACTTTCTACCAAATGAAATATAAAATATTCAAAATATTCCTATATTTGCAGTTTAAAACGATATATATTTATAATATTTAATTTATATTTTAATAATCTGTAGATTAGAACGAAAACTATGAGAAAGCGAACGTATACGTTATCTTATATCGCAATTGTGGTTATATGTATATGGCGCTAAAAATATTTCATGACCTTAATTAAAAAAAGTATAAAATCATTGTTATCTATTCAAACATTAATTATTATTATTACATTATCAAATACATATAGGAAACGCAACTTATCAAGTGTCCAAGTAATCAAAATTCAATTTACCTTTAAATAACCTTTTGCTAGAATTCTTTCTACAAATATATCAAGAATTTATTTATTGAAAATTGTATTACTTTTTTGCGTATAAGATACGATTCTAAGCTCCACAAAATTGCTTGTAAATGGGTGAAGTATATAGGTGAAATATTTTACATGATGTACTTGTAAAGAATGCTACTAAATATTTTTCCTCTTACTTAGATAAAGTGTTTTACATTAAATTTTTTCTGATTTGTTAATTTCCCATAAGTATATTTTTATCATTTTTGGTTTAAACTGTTTTCATATCTGCGAAATACCTTTTTATTAGCAAATATAAATTAAAAGTTCTCAGAATCGGATATCAATTTTAATGCGATAACAAATTTATTGCTTCAAATTAATGATAACACATGAGACAGTTTGACTTTTGATTATACAATATACAATAGTCTCGGATCTTTTTTTTAGTTTATGTCTCGAACATCGCTCTCTAAAATATTTCATGTATTGTTGAATGTTTGGAATTTGATTCTTAAATTTCATTATTTGAAAAAAGACTCATATGTAGAATATATATAGATTTAGGTAAAAATCACAGGATTCAGAACATTAACTAAACTCGGTACTTGTATGAGAGTTTATTATAAATATATTCAAAAATGCGATATAAAGAATGATATATTTTTGTAAATGATAAAGCAGAATTATCAACCTATTGGTAGGATATCATTATATATTGTATTTTTATTCATTGTTTCATTAGAGCAAAAGAAACAAGGAAAACTTTTAGAAAATCTTGTACTCAAGCTGTTAATAGTCTTTCTCTGTGCTGATTATATGGACGATTATATGGGTAGGGAAGTGAATGGTTAGTGGTTGAAGGATGGAATGGTTGGGTGGGATTTAATTGAACATGAACCAGGAGTTAGACGGAGAAACCTTGCCACTTCAATGGGGTGGGTGGGTTGTAGAACAGAATATCAGATGATCGATGTCAAGGGAATTAGAGCTACAGTTTGGACACACATTGCGAATAAACGTGTTTATGCGTGACAAGTAACTGCTTAGGGGAACACTTCTTGCTGCACAGGGGAGACGTCATTCTTCCAAAGAGATTGTTGGTGGGTATTCTCAATTCATTGATATTTATAAGCAGAGTCAGAGATATCTGTTTAGTCGACGAAGTAAAGAGGGTGGCTGAGGATTTATTTGGGGATAGGTAAACATTTCTATCATCTAAAAACGATGCCACAGAGGAGGGAAGGTATGCATTTATCTTGTTGCACAGTATAGAGGAGTCCTGGCCCGTAGTTATAATTGTGTAGTTATCTGTATAGGTACGTTATGACTCTAAACCCCTCGTGGAGTCTGGGAGTTTCTAAATTCGGCTGCTAGGTTAATTGTTACTTATGGTTCATCCATCTGGTACAAGAAAGCTCAGCGAAAGACTGTGAAAAGCTACGAAAGCTGCAGAGACTAGTCTGCATATGACAACAACCCTTGAGGTTGCATTGGGGCTCCCTCCACTTAACCTACTTGTCCAAAAGGAAGCAATGGCTTTTATAGCCAAGCTACAGTTGACTGGTAATCGATCAATAAGATCACTCGATAACTCCCTTTTAGGTAAGCAAATGCAAAGTGAGGAAGGGATGAAAGTCACCATATATGATTTTTGGTCAACTAAAATCGACTTCTACCAAAAGATCATAATACTATTACGAGACAGGAATGACTGGGAACGGGACATACCTCTATTCGTTGAAGACTATCATCAGTGGTACACAGATGTCTTGAAAACGAAGGAAGAAGTGGGGCCGAGAATATATGGAGTTAAATCAAAAGAGGAAATATTTGCGTATTTGAGGGAAACGAGGAAGCAGGTGAAGTAGCCAAAAAAGGGGTGGCCTCATATTATATTGGGCAACAACCATTCTGCGAACCTTCATGGCGCTTTTTTAAATTTAAAATTAATGAATGCCTTCAAAGAACTGCTCACTGATTGGGATAATACAATTGCCTGCAGACAAGCTAAAGAATTCATGCCGAATCGATGAAAAGTCAGTACGAGGCAGCTTGTAATGCTGAACAGAAAAGGCATGCATCTTGTGACAGGGTTTCTGACTGGACATTGTAGAGTAAAAAAGTATCTATCGAATATAGGTATTACAAGACATGATAGCTACAGACTTTGTTAGGAGGAAGAAGAAATAGCAGAAGACATTCTTAGTCACTCTGATAGTCTCGCCAGGCTCAGACTTCGGTATTTATCAACAACCTATCTATTTATAACGGAATTAGGTAACATCTCTCCAAAGAACATTTCGGCGTTTTTAACGGCTACTCATCTCATCTATGAAACTAAAGTGGTTTTGTCTCAATAATCCTCAAAGTATGCAGTGACGTGGTGATAAGTTCCCAACTCGTTTAAAATCTAAACTAATCTAATTATGTAGAAGTTTATATATTTTATTTTTCAAAATATTAACTAATTAATAAAAAAAAATTTTTTTTATTTTAAAATTACAAAAGAAACGAAAACATTGTCAGGAAAGTTTTGAGACATTAGACATAACGTGTTACGCAATATGATTTTGTTTAAGTTTAAGTGTTTATGGCTAATATATGCATAGTAGATATGCTTATATGCTTTTTCTTATATGCCCTATTATATAATATGCTATATACACGCTTCCATAAATCTCATTAAATTTTTCTAACCACTATTATTAAGTTTCTAGATATATTTCACTAAGATGTGAATAAATTAAAATATATTTTAGGCTGCAGTGCGTTTGGATGAACCACAGGCAAAAATAAATCATCTTAAAGAACAGCAAGAACAATGTGAGGTGAAATTAGAAAAAGAACGTGACGCTTGGGCGGCACAAATGTTTGAATTAATCGCAAAAGAAGATGTTATTGTACAGTGTATACGAGATTATGTACTCAACCAAAGAAATTATCATGAACGTGCATTACAACGAGTTAATTCATCATTATCCAATATACAGGATATAATTCAATCAACAGTGAAATCAGGATTTGGAACTTCACTGTCAGAACATTTGAGATCTACTAATCGTAAAATATCTCATATAATAGAATTGTGCGTATGCTGTTTAGTAGAGAACGGACTGTACGAAGAAGGTCTACTGCGTGTTGGATGTGCAAGTACAAAAATGCGGCGTATGAAACATGCTCTGGAGGCGCAATATGTAAAAACGCCTCTACCTCTTGAATATCAAGATCCACATGTGATTGGTTCAATTTTAAAATTATATCTGCGTGAATTGCCTGAACCTCTACTAACACATAAATATTTTAAAGAATTTATACATTCTGCTGAGCGTTCATCAGAAGCGGAACGTAAAGCAGAAATAAAAGCCATCTTGACGAAATTACCAACGGAAAATTATGAAAATTTACGTTACCTTACAAAATTTCTATGGTTAGTTACGCAAAACGTTGACCAAAACAAAATGAACTCACATAATATAGCAATTGTAATGTCACCAAATATGTTATGGCCTCGTATGGATAAAAACAATCCTGCAGATTATATGGGGCAGGTTAATAGTTCATCTGCTGTTAATGTGATTGTGGAACTATTAGTTAGTCAATGGGATTACTTTTTCGAAGGTGAGGTAGATTTTTTTGTTACGCTACAACGACATAAAATGTTTGTAGAGGGTAAAAGCAAATCTAATTCCTCAAATGAAAATTTAGACAAGCACGACAGTGGTAAGTTTTATTTTTATATATGTTTATTATATTATATTATCATTTTATTTGTGTACTTGTAGAGTCATTAGAGAGTCCTCGTTATGGCACAATAAGACGACAGAAAGCATGCGCACCTTCACCGCCTGCAAAAACATATGAAAAAGCACATTATAATTCCAACGCTAACATTGTGCATATGACTCCAGATAATAATGATACTGACTCAAATTATCGCAAAAATGGAGAAATTAATAATAGAGTGAAAGAACTATTTCCATCAGCAAATAATGGTACAGGTGTAGATAAACCAGAAAAACCACCACTACCTAAACTGCCACAATTCCAGCAGTCCCAGCCCCAGTCCCAGCCCCAGTCCCAGTTCCAGTCGCCACCACAACCGCAACAACAACAAATCCAAACACCACAATCAACACTTGAACAGCAGCAAACTCCGAAGCCTGTGCCAATGACGAGAACACAATTTTTTGGTTTGGATCAATTACCTTCACCTGTAGCTGATCGTAAGAGTACTGATAGCACAGGTTCATTTACTTTTAAGCCCGATTTACCACAAAAACCAAAAATACCAAAACGACCAATGGTGCTCGGTTTAAATGCTGCTAATAAAAGCGATGAGGAATCATGCACTCCTACGCCAACTCAAACTAATGCAACGTATAATATATTAAATGATGTAAGCAACAATATGAGAAATACAACAGAAAATTTTATCGATAAATTGCGTAATGAAAAATTGGATAATGGTGTAGCAATAACAAATGAAAATAATCATAATCAACATTTACTTACCTCTGAACAAATGAATTCAAATTCTAGCATTAGTTCAAATATAAACTCAAACACTATAAACTCAAATTTAAACACAAACGAGAACACAAATGCAAATTGTATGGCAACAAGTGTTGAGAAAACTGCGACTACCCCTATATCACCTAATATGATACTTACACCTAAAAGACCAACAGTTCCAGCCCCTCCTCCACCTTCAGTAGTTAAAAAGCAAAGTGATTAATCTATATTGAAGCAGAATTCATAATAATTAATTTACAGTATGGGATCTCAAAATAAATATGGGTTTATATAGAAATTTTTTAAACTTTAATAATTGGTTTAATAAGAATTGGTTTAATAAGAGAAAAGTAATCAATATTGAAATCTTTATAACAACAAATTAAGTTAAAAAATATTGACCAAATTTTTGTTCTACCAAAAACCATACAAATGTGTGCTATATATTTTATTAATAGATTAAATTTCTTTTTGAGTATTTTTACAGCTTCTTTAATGTAGCAAATTATTTAAATTTACTTAAATTACTAAAATAGTCAGAACATTTACTTATATGTGTTATTATAATATGTAATTGGTAATTTTGTTAAATAAGTTCTCACATACACACAAGTGAAACTGTTTGATATGTGAATACCGATTAAGTTTAAATGTAGCACATATACATAATATGCTAATATAAATACCAAAACAGCTTTTCTTATCCAAAGTGCTTGAATTACTTCCATCGTATTTGAAACATCCTTACGTTATTTATTTCAATCATATCACTTTTACTTAATTTGTATATTAAATAAAAAAGTACACATATGTATATGGTGATATATATAACATTAAGAAAATTAAAAAAAAAACCAGAATGATGTGAGTTTTTAACGCGTTTAAAAAAAATTGTTTTTTTAAGCTTTACACAAGTTATTTTGACTTTTCTCAGCCTTAATATTAAATACATTTCAAGTTGAATGTAATATATTTACTTAGTATACGCACAATGATGTAAAGCTTATATATATTTTTGTAGTTATTTTTCTATTGAATTTTTTTCCTTAATTCTTTCTATTAAAAGAATTTATGTGATTTTAAACTAAAATTTGAAAACAATATTTTTGTTTATATTTAATTAAAATTGATATAAGGCGACTCATACATTTTTTTGATCCCCACATCATTTAAAATGACAAAGTAATTCATATCCTTTTTACTTATAAAAATTTAAATATTTAACTATGTATAATTTATTTTTTATAAATATTTTTTATTGTAATTGCATTTGTATATTAAAGCAGTTGTTAAAAACTGTTACCTGTTGTGGCATATGTAAAACATACATGCATACAAATAATGTAATAGTGACTATCAAAAACAAATACAGAAAATGTTTTGATATTAGCCCAGTATTTAAAAATTTGTAAACAATATTTAGGTATATAAAAATGTATTGTGTAATATCCATTACAATGATTTTTAAACTAATTTAATGAGAAATAAAAAAATTTAGTTTCAAAATCTATTATATATGTTACAATTTAGTATAACTAAATTTCTGTGGTGTTTGCTGTTCTTTTATTTATTAAAAGTTATGGTTGTGCTATAAGGTTTGTGTTTTTTGAGTTTATATTTTTAAATTTTATTAATTTTTTACGGCAAATGCTCTTCAATATATTTTTCTATAATAAATAATATGTAGTTTTGTATTGGGCTAATGTCATTAAAGATTAAATGAAGAGAGTTTTAATGTATGCAAAAACCTAAGATATTTTTTTAAACTATAGTTAACTACATATATGAAATATATATGTTTCATATTAGTATACTTCAATGAAAGTATGGTTATATATTTCCAATATTTGAATTTTTATATATATTAGTTTTTAATTAAATGCAATGTGTATATGATATACATGCTCTTTCATATGTTTTTATTTTGTTCCTTTTTTATTTTTTAATATTTAAAAGCCCTAAAGCCAATAAAAATGTGAGTATGTATGTACATTTAAAAAACAATATTCATTTAAATATGTTAAAATAAAATAAAATGAAAAGTTTAATTATTAAATTTAAAGTTTTATGTTTTCGCTGGGGACTGAAAGTTAGGGTATATTCCTATATTGCTCAGTAAAGGTTGCATAAATGGACGGAATAGGGAAAGTATTATTGAGATGGGAATAGGGACGCTGTTGTCATTGATATTATTTCATATAAATTTTATTTGAGTTATTTGCTTGCTACTGTAATAAAATGAGGTTAAATTTTATAAATTTTCACAACATTGTTGTTAATTAACTAAAATAAAACAAAACGTTTACGAGGAGTATATTGAATTAGTTGGACTAACGTAACTTTTAATAAAGAATTCTGTTCAGAATTCAATTAAATAAAAACTGTTGTTCAAATCAAAAGAAGGAAATAGGTTAATATAGCATGAGACCATATAATGTGGCACCTTTAACAAAGTTTACAGACCAGCCACGCAGGCTCGTAAATGACGCGGAACGATGAATTAGCACCTTACGAGAGTCTTAAATAGTGTAAAATTCATATGAAATGAGTAGACTCTATGATCAATACGGAGAGGGGAATATGAGACCAAGTAAGTAACTGCTTGTTTATAGTAACTGGACATATATAGTAGTACGAATATTCGTGTCGTGTTTACTGCTTTTATTTTCAATAATATCATTGCGATGGATTTATAATTTTTATAATTAGATTTTATAATTTCTAACTAAAGCATGTGTGGTTGGTACTGTGTTATTTTCCAACCCTGAATAGTTCCTTAATTAATATTTGGTTTATAGATAGATAACACAAAAGTATGTTTCTCGATTCTTGCTAACAGATGAAAGGAGCCTAACTGGTCTGTTAAAATAGGATCTGTGTAACTGCAGGATTATTGAATTTCTGCATAGGTAATACTTTAAAATCTTTTCAGATATGCCAAAAATAACTTGACTGTAAGCTGCCGTTAATTAAAAGCGTTAAGTATTTTATTCCATTTCTTGACAATGTGTAATATACTAAATACAGCATTTTATTTAAAAAAAGAAAAGAGGGCAATGGAGGGAAAATTTATAAATTCAAGAATTTGACTTTTGATCAGGTGAATTATTTGGACTACCTTCACACCTAAAGCATATACATATATAATATGAATATAAAAGTATGTATACAGAAATATATTATGTACTTTATTAAATACATTGTTTCCTCCAGGTAACTGTTACGTTTTGCCTTAAAAGGTAATTTTTCAAAAAAAGAACATTGTGGCATGCCATCACAACAATTGTGCGTCAATACTTCTTAGCCTAATTTAAAGCCTATTGATGGAATAAAAATCAATAATGACAGAAGCCCTATAAAACATATACGTTTCCGTTTCACTTGCAAAGTGGAAAATATTTCTAACAGTTCTTTCTAGTTATTCGTTTTAAACGATGCTCTGTGTGTTATCGCGCGAAATATAAGATTTGTTAAAATTTATATTTGTGTAAATTTGAATTGTTTTCCAGCATTTTTTGTTGAATTTTATATGGAATAAATTGTTATTTTATTTATATGTCTAAGACGGCTATGAAAAACAAAAAGACTGCCTTTACAAATTCTTCAACAGGCTACGGCAAATCTAAGCATCACAGAAATATCAAATCTAATAAAAGTGAATATAATAAAAATGATGAAGAAAAGAAACTTGAAGTCGCTAAGCTGGATGATGATAAAAATTTAAATTCTGGGTTTGGAGATTATTTGAGATCACCAGAAGGTATATGCATTTTTTTCAAGTTAATAAAATAAATTAATAAATTTCTTAATACATATACGTATTTATAAATATTTTCTATAGCGGTGGAAATGATGAAATTGTTTGTTATGGCAAATACGATAATGCTATTAGTAACATTGGCATGGCCTAACATGAAGGAACATTATTATATGTTGATGCAATGGTTATCGAGCTTTCGTTCGGAAGACTAAATTAACTTAAAATAATTCTATTAAGTACATACAATTTTTTTTTTTTATATGAATTTTTATAAAACATAAAATTAAACTTTTTGAAGTCATAATGGTGGGTCCACTAATGCAAGGCATGGTACTTTTGGGTATAATATATTGGTACTCTAAGGGAATGTTATCCATTATAAATGATTATTACCGTACAGAAATTCAGAGAAAATTAAAAACCGAAAATGGTCAGAATGACACTATTTATAATGTAGATGATCTATTTAATAACCTCAAAACGGAAGAGAATTTAGTAAAATATGAAGAGAAAGTTGATAGCAATTTTAAAGATTTTGTAGATATATATAAATTAGAGGTAAATACTACATACTTAGGAATTTGTTATAAACCTAACAATTTAATAATATTTAATAAAATAATAAATAATCTTAACAAATGTGTAAGGAGCGAGATGATGTACAATAACAGAAGCACACATGTGGCAAAACAATATTTACGTATAAATAACTTTAATTGAAATAAAAGGATTGAAATTTATTTATATAAATATGTGTAATTTATATATATAATATAAGTGTGTGTTTCTAATTATTATTTTCTAATAATAAAAATTAAATAATTAACGTTAACATTAGTTTTTGGTATACTAAACAGTAGATAGTAAGCTACTGATTGGTCTGGCTGGAGGAGACTACTGAACGATTCACGTCTGTAGTTCCCAATTAAGTAAATAAGTAAGTACTAAAATTAAAAATTAAATTAGTAAAATTAGTAAAAATAATAGAAATTAGTAAAATAGTACAAATACAAATTGAAATTCACAGATTGTATATCTAAATAGACGATGAATCTTGCTAGAAAAATATTTGAAACTATAATATTTTACTCAGGGCGTTCTGTGGGTAAGCAACCAAACCGCAACTGACCACATAATAAGTAAAGAAGAAAATTGCAAGATATTACACATTGACATAATAAATAAGATCTAAGATAAACTTAAGTTCTTAAAAAGGGTTGTAGTAGTCAATTTAAAAAGGGGCTTATAATATTTAGCCTCACCTAGATTTGTTAAGCAACGAATTATTTTATAATTTACTAAGAAAATTTTATACTTTAAATAAAAGTAAAACCATGCTCATTATTTTTTATGTTATGTGTATATCTTAATGTGTCCATTTTTAATGTTCCATTTCTTTTACTAATCTATTTGTCAATATATATAGTCAGTATAATGGCGAGGAAATCATATAATTAAATAAAACTGTGACATATAAGTTAGCCAATGCTAAATATTTACCCTGTTATGTTATATGGATTCAACTGTGTATTTTATATACATATACGAAAAATAGTGCATAGTTTGTGTAGTTAATGTTTTTTTGTTAGTTCAGTTGGCGTTCTTTTGCTCTTCTAAGGTTGTTTCGTGAGGACATTTAGGTGATTTAGCAGTTTTCTCATGTATTCGTTACTGTGGTTTCGAACTTTGTTCATCAATATTGGTATATTAATATCTCAAGAATTGCTTCACTATTCATGTATTACGGTGCATTCCGTTTATATGAATTAATAAGAAGCTTAAGCTTTAAGTCCATTATTGAATACTTAATAATAATTAATGATGGAAGCTGTCAGCTGAAGCCGACAATAATCAAATAATGAGTTACTCTTTTAGAGTTGAAAAATTGTGTCATATTCTTGAGTCTTTTAACTTATTGATTACTCCTTTAACATTAGAGTTTGTTTTTTTAACTTGTTTTTTTCTACTATATTGAAGAAACTCTTTAGTGGAATTATTAGAATCCAATTTGTGAGTTTATTGTGTAAATTTCGTTTTAATCGTTACTATTATTGGGGAATGATCTTATGAGAGACCCAAGACAAACTTTATTGTAATATAATTTTCGAACAACCTTCTTGATATAAAAAGCCAGTATATCTGACATTATTATTTATGTCCAAAGGCCAATAAATTGGTTCTGTTAAATGTTTTATTTCAGTAATGAGTAAAGTGCACTATGCATGGACTTCGTTTAAACAAGCGGTTATTGGCTTATTGGGTAACGGAAGAGATCCATATTATAATGAAATTCTTTTATCTTTGATTGAAAATTACGAAGTTCTTGGAACAACTATATCTTTAAAAATGCATTTCTTGCACTCTTATGTGGAGATTTTCTCTTCAAATCTTTGTGCAGAAAGTAATGAAGAAATAATAAAATTCTATAAGGATATCTCTGCAATGAAGAAATGATGTCAAGAATATTGGGGTGCAAGTATGGTATGTTGCGAGATTATTGTTGGACAATTATAAAAGAAACATATAAGAAGTTTGCTGAAACCACACGAATACCTCATTATTCCATTATTCAGTTCCATATTCGACGTTAGACTTTTATATAAAATGTAAAATTATAACATTTAATAATATTAATAGTATTATTTTATTTTTTGATGAAATTTTGGGTGTTTGATTGGAAAATTGACTATAGCTTTTGAATTTTTGAACATCAATCAAGAAAAATTTCTTTTTTAATATTCCTGTGGTAGTTCTGTCCCATTGAAAATTGAAAAACTTGAAAAAGGCGTAAAAAAAGATTATTCATCTGTACATTTTTAGGTAGCCTAAAATATTCGTACATCACATATTAGTTTATCTTTAATTTGATATACAATACTATATGAGGTAATTTCACTAAAATAAGTTATGGGGGCATATGCAGGGTGATGTTTTGACAAAAAATAACGGTCTTTCGTAAATATCTCGAAAACGATACACAAGAAAAAAATCGTTGTCATTTTCGAATTCTACGGAATATGTGAATAGGTCTCGTCTTTGGAAATTTTTGGCTGTAAACTAATGATATTAGACTTTAAAAAGAAATATTCATTATTTAATTTATTTAAATAATCGTTAGATAATTTTATTTATTTAAATAATCATTAGATAATTTAAATTTGATTTATATAAGATCAATACATAGTGGTGTATTCAAGGGGTTAAAGGGGATAGATGACCTTGTTCTTATTTCTGCACTAATATTAACTAAAACTTTTGAAAATGTGTTGTAGGTAATATTGATCTCAGCAACCAAGTGTGGTAAAAAGTTGTTACAGTGATTGTTAGGCAAATAAATGACGCTATCTGATATTTACTATACTTATTTAAATATTTTAAACCGTATACGTATCGTATATTAAGTTACTTATGTTATGTTAATTTATGTTATGTTACGATATGTTATGTTGGTGTTGTTTCAGCGGCACAATGTTGGCAACTGACTGCTTGATATTTGCTGAGATGTTATTGTAAATTTTGTTTTTAATACGCAGAGTTGCATTTGGTATTGCACTTCATGCCTTACCAATATTTCCATCACTCGGTGAATCCTGCGAGGGATTTACAAATTCCAGAGCGGCTAGCTTAGTGGCAGGGCGTCATATAATACCATGCCTTGTCCGTACATCAGCGTTTTGTATTTGTCCATCGTTATCGTTACTGACGTCAAGGATACGGTCCATCTGACATTGACTTCTTGGTGCAATGGAGTCGCATATGATCACCAACTGATCGCAATGTAGCGGTTTTACTTCCGTGTGCTGTTTCGGAGGCATCGATAATTGTGGCAAGTATTCATTTATCCAAGGTTTTAAGATTTTGTGCAATTCTGTGCAATAACAGACCCGGATTAGCGGGTCTGTTAAAGATCTATTCTATGCCATTTTCAGCAGATTCTTGTTGTATATCGTCAAAAGGTAATAACATCCCCTATTTCTTAAGTTTTGATTGTGTTCCTATGAATTTTGTGTCATTTTCGCTTCTGATGCGAACAGGTACTCCACGGCGGTTGACGAAATTCTTTAGGCAAAATAGAAAGGCATCTGTTGATAAATCAGTAGCACTTTGAGGTATATAGCATGTGAATAGCGGAGTCCAACTCTTCACGGCGGCGTCAAATTGTTACAAAAAATGGACCACAACAGTCTGTACCAGTATATATAAATGGACGGACATATGGCATAAGGCGATCAGGGGATAACTGATCAATGACCCATCAATGACACTGCTGATTTAGATTTATCACGTATGCATACCGGGCAATTTCTCTTAACTGTATTTAGCAAAGAATGAAAATTTGGTCTCCAATAACGTTGACGCATTACGTTTATGGTTAACTTACTGTTTTGATGATGATTTATTCTGCGGTAGTGATCCATGATTAGCAATGCAACGTTATGATTATGTGGTAAGATTATTGGATGACGTGCGGAATCGGGCAAGACATTAGCAATTCGTTCTTGTTTTGTAGAGCATTAATTTCTACTTTGTAAAATTTATATTGAACTTAACGGCATATGTAATTTTGAGCAGCTGTAAGTTCTTTTGGTATTAATTCTCCTTTACATTGCTGATTCAGTTTTAAATTGTTAACGAATCGTAGATCCAAGCTATTACACCAACTAATGTAAATGTTGAATACCTGTCATATCAACAATTGAATTATTATTAGCTATTAACAAAAATTTTTTCGTACACTCTTACCTATATTGTGGTATAAGTTAAAAGCATTTGGTTCGGCTCTTTGGGTCACTCGCTTTCGTTTGCGAACATAAAGGCAGGACCCTTAATCCATTTGGAACATTTGCCATGATTTGATTTTTGTGACTTCGGAGGCCATATTGACTTCTGATGGTACACAACGCTGTTGTTCTTGTAGTGTACTCAATAGCTCAATAGCTCTGCTGTGCGATTGGTGACAATGTATTTATAATCACGTTTTGCTGAAAGTATCCAAAATAAAACAGTTTTTCAATCGCTCAAAAAGGTGGTTCACCTTTCGATCAAGACATTTCTCCATTGCAATTTTAAAGCGACTACTCAACACTGCGGCTTGTAATTTCTTAGGTGCACTTCTGGACTTGTCTGTTAAGACGGCATTAATATTGTTACCTTGTTTCATATGTAACTATACTACTGCGGCAAATACAGTATGCAGTATCACTGGCGTTCATAAAAACGTGAAATTGTTCAATATAATGTGGAAAAACATCGCGGTACAGCAAAATGGCTGACGTTCTGAAATCCTGACCACCATTTACTCCACTCTGTTGCAAGTTGATGGGGTAAAATAACTTCCCACTCAACACAGAGAAATTAAATAAAGTGGATTTTTATTCAAAACATTACCAAAATATATCCTAAATATTCCCGGCAAAATTTTTAAGGGCATCACATTAGCTTCCGAGTGGAAGTGCTGACAACTGTCAGTACCCGCTTTCTGAACCTAACCATAACCTAAACATATCCTACGTACTTCAAAAAATCTCATTATAAATGTGATTTTATCTGAGAAGTTATTTGATATATGTTTCCAAAAATTAGAGACGATTTGATTTTATACTGAAAGTTATATTCAATTTATTTCTGCAATATTATAAAGTTGAAAAAATAATTTATAGAAAATATATTTCAAAATATCGAAAAATATCAAAAATACGCAGGGTTAAGCGGAAGAGTCATTCTTACGTTTTAAAATGTAAACATACACGATATGAACATCATTCTATAGATAATCGTAAGTGATATAGTGAATTAAAAGTCTATTGACTCAAACTGAAATAGTAAATTCTCTAACGAAATCTCTTATTTCATAAGACAACCTGGGTCAACGCCTCACAGAATGATTTTCAAAATTGAATTACGAATTATCTAACTTTGAAAATCAATCCGCAATAAACTTATAGGTATATTTGATTTAATTTTGGTCTTTAATATATACATTAAGGTTTATAAAAAAAGTATTATATGATATGTAGCCTGGTGCTTTCCATTGACCGTAACTTAATATTAAACAGTTTTGTTTTAAATCATTCTTCTACAAGAAAATAATGGTCATAGTGGTCATATCGCCGAGGATTCCCTGTTGATTTCTTGTCAGTTCTGACTGTTAGATGAGAAGTTCTATTTAAAAACCATATAAAAGCATAGTCTTTGGATACTGTTATTATTTGCACCGCCAACATTTGAATAGATAACAAGCCCATTGATAGAAAAATTTGCATTTTTTGATGATTTTAAACGTACAGATTTAATTAACTATATATATAATTTTTAGGCTAAGATCGGCTTCTCTGTTATTTGTGAGAACTTCTTAAGTTTTCGTCCTAAATTTTAATATGTATAATTAATCCATTTAATCTTTATTTGTTTTGAATAAATTTGAATAAATATGTTTCTGATATATATATTATTCAATATAGTATGTATATATTTACCAAAGGAACCAGAAGTTTTCAAATATTTTCTGAAGATAAACAAAATTGTTGTATTGATTGTCATAGCAATAGCAAAATTATATAAAGAAGGTAGAGAATAAAAGTGAACAATTGTTTATAGTAAATAAGCACAGTAACTTTAAAAAAAGTGAATTTTAAAAATCATTAAAAAACTTTAAAGTATTTAATTTATTTGCTAACAACAATAAAGGATAAAATATGACGCAAGTGGGGTAAGTGGAAAAAAAGTTCTTTAGTGACAACATAAAATAACAAACCAATTTATATACACTTAGCTGGATCTCTTTAACTAAGCCGTCATCTCTTGTCAATATTGCAACCGATGCAATTGCTATGCAATGTGAAAATGTAGTTATGTGTATTGATATCGTAACACGAGTGAAAAGCTATTATAAAGCTGATAGTCCCGAGACAGGAGCCAGCATAGCAATAGTAACTGGGCATAATCGCCTTCCTTTGTTCGGATTTGCTGAAGGTGTATTGCAGCCAAGAATTTTTATTGTCAAATATCCAGAACTAACACCTATAATTGTTTTAAGTGGTAAGTTTATTCAAACTAATATTTTTCAAACTGAATAAAACTAATACTCTCTAAAGGGAATACTTTAAAGAGAAAGCACAGTGGAGCACTGTATTTTGTCTAATAGTTACAGTTTGTTCGGTATTAAAATTGAATTTTGTTTTTAATAGCTTTTGGGGTAACCAAGTTTGTGGATTTAAAATTTTCGGAACATGGTCATATTATAGGTTTGACCGGCAGTCCACATTATACTTTCCATATATGGAATTATCGTTTAAACTCTTACTACTGCGGTCAAGACACAAACCTACAGTGTGCTGAATATTCCACTATATGCTCCAATAATAATTTGCCAGTAATAGTGAATTTTAGTTCCATGACACGAGAATTATTCGTGTGGGAGTTGTGTATGACTACAGAGCGATACTTTTTGCATTGTCGATCGAGTACAACATTAAGTCGGAATTATGAAAAAAGCTGCGGACATAATCACATGACATTTGCAGATGATGGCAGCATATATATAATTGATGATTTTGGCTATTTGTTTTATGTAAGAAAAAACTTTATTTTACTGTGTATATAATATATTTGTAAAAAATATTTTTATTAAAGTTTGACGTGGGACAGTTTTACTTACAAGAACAGTTCGCAATACCAAAAAGCGATATATCGGCTTGCCGCCATTCATTGTATTATTGTAAAAATGGACTTCTAGTTACCACTGCAAAAGCTATGCACTACATTAAATTGATTGATGATAAATGGGTTGTAGAATGGACTATTGATAATATGCCAGCAGATATTGTTAAGGTAATCTATAACCATAGCAATGAGATTTTTGCTTCAAATAGTATCGGTAATGTGTATCGGGTGGAAATAGTAAATAATAAAAGAATAATCAAACCTTTCTCGTTTCAAAATGTTAAAGTTATCAGTTACGCTGTTGGCCTTAAAGGAATCAGAGAAGAGCTTATTGTGCTGCTCTCAAACGCTGGTGAAATAATCGCTATGGACATGGCACACGTAGAGACATTTTCCGTAATGAATTATCCAAATAGTAAAATTATTGCGGGTCATAACCTGTCTCCATATATAATAGTCGGATTAGAAAGTGGTGCTTTATATTTTATAAGCTATGAGAAAGTACGTGCCCCCGTACAAATTGGCGTATTTAATGCTTTAATGTGCGATATCCAATCCATTCTTTATTTTGAAACTTGCGCATTTGTATTAGACTCAACCCAGGAACATCATATCATAAGAGTGGATATGAAGAAAGCTGTTTTTAGCTCTTCAGGAATTATACCAAAAATACCAGTTAATGAAGCAACTATTTTGGTGGAATTTTTAATTGATTTTAATCGTGCTTTAGTTTGTTTAAGTGATGATTTTGATGCAAGTATACGGTTTACTAAAGAGTTGCGAATGTACAATTGGATTAGCAAACAAGAAGAAATTATTTTGACCGCATATGACCTGCCACATAACTATCGTAGTATCTTTTGTTCAACTGTGAGTGATAAAAAGAGAGTTGAGCTTTTCGGAATAAGAGAATTTGGGGCAGTAATAGATGTTTTCAAATTAAATGATACTAAACAACTGATCTTTAGCGAAACTATCGCTACAACTCATTTAACCAATATTATAGGCATTAGCGGAACGCGTAACTTAATCACATGGGGAGTTGATGCCATGATATTTCATTTCAAAGCACATAAAAGACACAATGATCCCTTAATGATAGCAAAAACAGTTGTCTTGACGTATGTGCCGTATTATATCAAAAGTGCCACCGAATGCTTTACTGGCAAGTAAGTATGTGTTTAGTTTATATACTAGGACATATCCTATATGCTATACGTAAATCTGCTTATTTAATAAATGGTTGGTAGAAAATATGAAAATTGGACCGTTAGAAATATAAAGTAGGAAACGAACTAAAGTTGGGTCTAACTGTCAAAAAGACAGCTGATAGTAGGAGTACCCGTATTTGAAATTTTTTTCGTATACTGTATGTATACGCAATTATGATGTAGACTTAACCCTATTAACTTATTGTAAAGTTACACTATTACATTATTTTGATGAATTGATCTTGAGATATTGAGGGTTTTTGATTCAAAATTTGCTATTACTTTGACAGCTAGTACCTTCTTAAATCCCATCTCTCATATGATATTTGTAATTTTTTTTGACAGGGGGTCAACTCAGAAAGTTACAGGCAGTATCGGCACTAGGCGTCAGCGACGTCGACGACCACGCGACTGTCGATTGTCGACTGTCGATTTAAAGCATTTAATGGATATTTTGCACAATATGGATTCATATATGACATTAATCATATAAAAAGTATGCCAAACGAAGACCTTCTCAAGCATTGTAATGCTTTAGGTTTAATTCGGCCTTTTGAGCTATATGTATTACTGCTGCTCTTAAAATCAAACTCACTAGACTCAATCAACGATCAGGCAGACAAAGTAACTTGTTCGGTATATTAAAGAAAATAATTTAAACGAAGTATATCCAAATATTTATATAGTGACCAGAATTATGATCACAGTTCCAGTCATATAACATATACTGAAAGAAATTTCTCAAAGTTAAAATGGATTAGGAATTTATTGAGGAGTACGATGAGCCAATCAATTAAAGCGAAAATAGCAGATGGTGCAAATTATGATATATTATAATTTTAAAAAAATTGAGTATTTACCTAAGAGTAGGAAATTTGATTATTTTAATTTATGTTTATTTTAATGTGATTCGCAATAAAACGCATTAGTGAATGTATTTACTTTTATAACTCTGTAATAAAAGTAGCATATTTAATACCACCCCACCCTTCACTTTACTGATGCATATGTTGCTGAGCCACCTAAGTGACATAAGGGTTCTTCGACACTTTTGAAAGTTGTCTGAGTAATTTCATCACATTGTCCATGAATTTATTTCTCGCCATCTAAGTCATAGGTTAAACTCCAGAAGTATCTTTCGAGATTTTATGAATTTATTTCATGATATTTTTTTTTTAAATTAGTTTTATTAAGGTATTGAAACAATAAATAAATAATTTAATGATAATATGATAAGATTTTTCTACCAGTTTCTAGCTTTCATTGTCGTTGAAGTGTCTAGGCTTACTTAGCCATTTATAGGTTTATAGGTGTATAGGTTACGATTGCCATTTCAAATTTTTTTTAAAAATCCTTTTTCATTATGAATGCATTATGAATGGTGTTAAAAAATGTGTTGAGTGATTATCCCAGATTTTATTTTAAGTACACATACCTATTTTTTTCTTCTTGAGTGGTGAGTTGGAATTCATCAAAGCTAAGATATTAATTTTGATTTATTCTCGAAATGTACGACTACATCATTATTAAGTTGGGCCAGCTGTTGTGACTCCTTTCGGTTTTTATTTTTATAAGCTAAGACTATGATATTATATTTAAAATATTTTATATCTAGTAGGATCTATTGTGCTGCATTGTTGTCTTGAATAATGAATTCAATGAAGATCTTAATATCTTTTTTTATATTCGTTTAATTAATTTTCAGATATATTATAGTTTTGTATTCAAACGGCAACCTTAAAATATACTACTTTGCATTAAAAAGTGAGCCATTTCTTGAAAATAACTTAATGGGTGGTGAAAGTATAGAGATTGTGCCTAAATATGTTACCTCAACTCATTTCGGTGAATCAGATATTAAAGCAATTAAACCATTGACGGATGAACAAAAGTATTTAATTACAAAAGTCCAACGAAAATTAATCGAAATAAAAAAAGATGTGGCTAAATTAATAGAATATGATATTTCAGTTACAGGAAAAACTCAGGGTGTTTACAGAAAGTTTTGTTTGAATCGAAAGTGGTTGGCTACAGTAGAGGAACAATGGCGTATGTTATGTGCATATCACCGAAAAGTGCTTCAAGACGCTGTCAATGATAAAACGCGCATACGAGACTGGATTCTTAAGTTAGTTACTAGTACCACGTCTCAAATCGGCTATAAGCTAAGAGCGATATTTTCGAACACTTATTTAGAATGCTATAGCATACATAGTCTAGATGATTACTTCCACAAACTTTTCGATTTATTTTATTTATATGACGCAGACATAATGGAGCAGGATGATGAAAATGAAGAAGAGAATAAACCCGAAGGTGAGACAAATGAAGGAATGCCTAGGTCGCGTAACTTTTTTGTTGTTAAGGGAAACATTTTCGAACACTGCGATTCACCAGATTTTCGTATGGAAGATAAGGATTTAGTTACACAATATCAAATGCATAATCATTATGCCAAGTTTAAGGTAAGTTTTACCTTCGATAACGCTTATGAAGTAATATGGTATTTACGGTGGAGTGTTGTATGTAGGCATTGATAAGCAATCAATTGCGGAAAGATTTTAATAAGAAGTTTTATGAACTTGAAAAATTCAAAAAAGAAACTATTGAAGAAGTCAAAGGAATAAATTTAATTCTGGAAAAAATTCATAGCAATATGAATTGTATGCACGAATTGCTTGGCATGGACAAGTTTGTACCAGAACCATTATCCGTACCTGAGTGGCAAGACGATGAAGTTTTGGATCGAGTAATGACAGTAAGCGCAGCAAATAAAAAACATTAATCGAAATATAATATTTTTTATATTATTATATGTAATATAATATATTTAATCACAAATAAATTATTAAGGTGGATGATTCCGAAGTAAAGGCAATAAATCGACGAAAAAAGAAAGCTGAAATTGTTGAGTTCAAGAGTGGTCGTATGTTGTTGTGGGCCGATGAATTTTGGACACGTGCTCTAATGACAATGATGGACGGAGTATTGGAAAAACTTTGGGAAGAAGAAATAAAAAAAGACATCCCAATTCCAGAGTTTATGCTAAAAAAGGATCCGCATGAATTTTCCCTCGAAGAACAGAGACAAGTTCGTGACTATGAGGAAAGACTAGTGGTGTTAGAGTCAGATAGGCGCAAGTATTTAAGAATATTACACGCTGATAAAGCCAAAACAATTAAAATAAAAGATTCCATAATATTAAGATTTAATGAAAAACTAAACCGATTAGCTATTGTAAAGTTGCAGTATGATTTTCATTTAAAGGTTGGCCGACTACGAGATTTGAATTTGAAAATATATAACCAGGAACGTAAACATATACGAACAACTATATCAGCATTAACGTAAGTCCTACTTTTACTTGTTAACATACGAGTATAATGACACATCATAAGAAGTTTCTTATACTAACTTATGTTATTCATATAGTGTTAGTTGTAGTACACACAACTATTTATATTTAAGTAAGAAATAAATATTGCAATAATAATTAAAATAAATCAATAGAAAAGATATGATTGATCTGAATAAATAAATAATAAACAAGAAATTATGTTACAGGAGAAAAGTTTTTATATAACGAAGAAACGGTTTTATATATTAGTTTACAGATATTTGGAGAAAACTAAAAATACATATTTACAAAATATAAAAGAATTTTGTTTTTATATAATATATTTTTATTTCGAATTTTTTTATACTTTATACCATATATGAAATGATAATAAAATATAAAACTTGTTCCACTTTTTCATTTTTGTATAGGGATCAAATAGAAACCTTGGATGATTACATACAGAATTATGCCAATTTGAAAAATTTTTGGGGAAAGTCCGTTTCAGATCTTCAAACACAAATGGATAATTTGCACATTCGAGACAAAACTTTAGAAAGATCATTTAGAAATAATTTTGTTGGTTCCTTACATCCTGCAATATCACACGATATATTAAAACTGTACAGGAAGCGACCTAAAGTGCAAACTAAACCTTTTAACACAACGCTAGCCTGCTTAGAAACTGCATCTCGAATACCTTCCAAGAAAGGAAGTAATTTTCCATTGCCTCGAGACATACTTGATTACCTTGCCAATTTAGAAGCTTTGGATTCGTCAGACCATTGCCCCCATCAAGTTGATAACAGATCTTGGGACCAGTTTGTGAAATTACGGCGTTTAAAAATCGAAATGGAATTACGACTTAAAGGTGTGGGATTTCGGTTATCCGATGCTCAGAATGCTCTAAATACTTTCACTAGAGATTACTCAAATCTGTTAATAAAAAAACAAGATTATGAAGAGGAATTGGTGTATCAAATTGAAGCATATGTTAGATATTATTATTATTTAATTATATTTCTCTCTGATAATTATTTAGTTTCTTTTCAAAGACCGAAGTTACACGCAATAAGGCGGTGGTAGTTGTTTTAAATCAGGGTCAAGTTGAAGTGAATCTTAACAATGCTCTAGTGGACACAATCAATTTTGTTTTACTGAATAGACAGGACTTACATGATGTGAATGATTTGATTAGGGTAAATTTTAGCATATACCATACTTGTATATAAAAAGCATTTATATACATGTTGGATATACATATTGGATTTTTTAGAATGCAGGTGAGATGAAAATAAAGTCTATGGAGAGGGTAGCAATATTTCGTCGAAAAGTTAAACATGAAGAATGGGAGCATAGAATGCTTAAATTAGAGATGCTCAGATTAAAGCATAAATTATATTTAGTAAAACGTGCTAAGGTATAATATAACATATATGTTACGTTCTTTATGGGCGTTGATAACATTAAACTTTTAGGTCACAAAGGAAGGATTAGCCTTAATACGGAACTGGGAGAAAGCTAAAAAGGCTGGTCAGAAAATGAGAAAAACACCTGGACTTATAAATCGTATTATGCAGTTAAAGGACAAAGCGATTAGTAGGCGGTATGATGAAGTGTAAGTGTTGTAAAATATTCTTTCTGTGCAGCTTCGGTTTATTTCTTGTTGTCAATTTAATCAATTAATTTTTTTTTTAATTTTGAAAAACTTATTTTGGTTAAATATTCGCAGACTAACAAAGGTTAAACGTGTCGAACAACAAATTCTTCATAAAGAGATTGAGTGCAAACATTTGGATCGTAAAATTAGTGCGGTTCAAGTGGATATAACTTACGCAAATGTGGAACGGGATTTAGATTTTGAGAAACGTCGTGAACGTTTTCGTAAAGATAGGTACGTATGTTTCATTTATTTATATTGATAATAGAAAATTGTGCAATTGGTTAAAGCAATTGGTATACTTAGTACTCTGGAATATTAACAGATCAACAATGCTTTGCTTGTGTGAAACAAAGCATTGCAGCCATATTAGGACATGCTATGTGGATGTATTCCACATATTTGTCAAATTAAGTTTTGTCTTATTTTGTATCAAGGCAAATAAAAGACAAAGCGCAATATCATATTTTTGGTTAAGAATTTGTCCTACACACAAAGTAACGCTTCCTGTTTACACTAATTCAAGTTCATTGAAGCTAACTTACCGTTTATGCTGATTCAGCTGTGATCACTGTATTCAAGCTGCACACAGTATTCTTAGTTTTCTTTATGAACAATGTTCCTTCTATAGGAACCAACTTAGATACGACTAACACCACCACACTTATCTTAAGAATGCAAATCTCAGCATAATTGGCTTTTGCTTGATTCTTTAAATTTAGTTCGAGTCAAGCCAACTAACATCTTGGTCGTGGTTTAAGTTCATAACAGACACTTGTGCAAAGTAGCCTGTTACAAATCTATAAAATAATTTTTTAAGGCTTATACGAATACATGAAAAACGAATATATTTTTTGATCTTAAATATTTCTTAATTAATGAATTCTCTCTTAAACTTTGGACAGATTGGAACAAATAATGAAGCATAAAAAATTAATAGACACTGTGCGTAATAATCATGCAAAAATTTTAGAATTGACAACATTGTTGGAACTTCAACGTTTGCGTACGTATCCTACATTGGGTCCAGCTCCGGAATGTTAGTTAATTAAAAGAAATACATTACATTCATATGAAGTATATACATTTTTTATTCTTACATATATTTTCTTATAGTATGCTTATGTTAAATAATTGCGTTTTGAATCAATAAAAACTTATTTCTCGTTAAAAAATTATATAAATTATTAAGAATGCCAGAAATATATGTAGAAAGGACCAGAACCAAAAGTATCTGCAAAGAAAAATATTTTAATTTTAATTTTTTTAAAACAATATTTTTAAAGAATATATGAATTTTATTAGTATATTACTCCACTAGCCCGTGCGACTAGTGGAGTAACATTAGCATGACTTTCTTAGCATTACGTTCCTAGATTAGGTTCTATACATAAGAAAGAACAAATCATGCAACAAATAATGTCTCTACAAACAGAATAGTATTGAAATTTTACAATTGAAAATAAAATTATAATTAATTAATTAATTCAATTATTCTACAGCTGATTTATGATTTCGTTCTAATATGAACACAGCAAATAAAATTGTTAATAAAAAAACTTAACAAAACTTAAGAAAAATATGCGAACAAAAAAGTCAAGTACGGCTTTGGATCAATTGGTTAAAGTGCGCTGATTCTGAGCTTCACATTTGACAGGACCCGAGTTCGATTCCTGGTACTTGCAGTTTCAAAAATAATTATTTACGAATAATTAAATACAAGAATTATTTCTAAGACCACTAATGATGGGTATTTCCACTAATACTCGAAACAGCTGTATGGTCAGACAAAAATTCAATTGATTAAAATAATATAAAAAATAAAATTTTTGTTGTTGTATTTCACTACTGTTCGAAAAAACCTCTTTGTTAAGAAGTTATTAAATCATCAGGTGGAAATTGATAAAAAACTACAATTTTTTCTTTTTCGAAAACAATGTTATCAGACTAAATATTTATTTTCTTTTTACTAATTGGCATTGTAGACATATTTTTAAATTTTTAAATAGACATATTTTTAAACTATTTTTGAAAAGTTTAATAAATTATCTTTAAAACGCAACAAATTTCAAGTTTCTATCAGTTATGGGGCCTGACATATGGTCGTTTAAAAATGTGTCCACAATGCTCATTGTAAAAACCCCATGTATCCATATTTTCTAGGGAAAATATTTAAGAATTTATTCCCGAAATACACGAAATACGTCTTCATATTTTATGAAAGAAGTGCATAAAAAATTATTCAGCTACAGTCTACAATGCAAATTGTGAAAACCCCACGGATCCACTTTGTCTTATTTTATGAAAGGAGCTCATAAAAAATATTTCAGTCAAATCGGAGATGATGAGGTTAAAAAGGTGCCCGATTTGTAAAAGAATGACCCATACACAGTTAAATTATAAAAAAATTTTATATAGGTATGCATAGTTACAGTAGAAATAAATTAAATACTCACTTTGTAATTTTAATTTTATTGGAGTTTTCTTGAAAATGTTCGTGGTGTAAGTACTTTTGTATGCCTATTACGAATTTGCGTATGTATAAATCATAATTCAATGTCTCCAGATCCCAACACATGTTATGGGCGTTTTCACTACAAAGCAGTTGCTTATAATAGTAACGTGAACGATTCCTAAAAATCCACTCATTTAATGAAAATGTCTTACCAGCCAGACAAGCTTGACGAAACTTTTTAGCTATGGGTAGTACGAATTTCTTTTTGTGCTGCAATAGAGTTAAAAGATCCATTAAGAATGCGGGTATATAATGTAAAATTATGACAGCGATTTCATGATATATAAAACTTTTACGATATTTAAAATTTGGATACATCATTAAACGTTTTGTTGGATAAATACGTGACCATTTTAGCGTAAGACAACCAAGCTGTTGCCAAGTTATTGGATTTGTGACACCAGAAGTAGAATTTGAGATATTAACACTGCTCAAACAACAAGAAGAGAGAGATTAGCAATGCATTAAATGGATGCTATGCATTAATACTTACATTCCAACAGTTGCTTTCTGTGCCATTAAAAGCATAGAGTTCACAACAAAATCAACTGGTATTATATCACATATAATATTCTTATCGCCCAGTATACTGCTTATAGTACCTTTACCAATCTCCATCATTATACCAGTGATTCCTTGTATGTTATCAATCCAACCAGGATATGGTTCATGATAAGCTGCTGTTACAATTGACGGACGCACAATCACAATAGGCAAATGGTGTTTATAGTCATTGACAATTTGTTCAGCTATTGATTTTGTGAATGTGTAAGTGTTTGGATGTGGTCCCTGTATAATGAAGATATCTCTGTATAATGCATCATTATATTGTATAATTATAAAAACAAAAATTTATACATTTATATATATGGTACTATATAAATTAATTACCAGCACCTTTGCTGAAGACACAAATATTATATTATTTTGATATTACTCAAAATAAGAAAATGTTTTTAAGCTTTGAAAAGGTCAATTTTAGAACTTTAACTCGTTATTTTCAGAGACTCCCATATTGAGGAAAAAATAGATTGCTTACAACTTGAACAACGAAAGTTTTATTCAGCTTTGATTTGAAAATACACGAAGTCATTGCATTATAAGCCTAGCACTTGTAGGTGATACCTTACCATATATATGGACTAATAAAACCAATTAATATATCCAAAAATCACTGATGACAAGTATTTGGCAATTCTCGAAACAGTTGTATGGTTAGCCAAATATTTCAGTTAAATAAAAAAATAACATTTTGTTATTGTAAGATTACCGAATATCTTAATGATTTAATAATCTAAGTGAGTAGAAAATAAAAAAAGCAAAACAATATCCCATTTTTGTCGCACAATGTACCTAATTAATGAAATAATAATTTCTTTCAGTTCAGTTTAGCTTTAGATACATATCTATGACTTTTACCTTAATATAGTTAGCTAAACTATTGAAATATGCGTCTGGTATTCTTTTAGTGCAATTAACAAAGTCTTTCCAATTCACCGGCGGTAGCGTGGGATAAATCATTTCATCAACAAATTTGCGTCCGGGATTACAGTATGCAGTCGATACATAAACAAAACTCTGTAAAGAGAGCATTGTCTATAAACATATTTAGTCCAAACAGTAAATAGTCAAAACAATAGTGACCTTAAGTTGTGGCATTTGTTTGCAAAGCTCCAATAGGTGCCACGTGCCGATTGCATTTACTTGTGCAGCAACTTTCAGCCGCTCATTGAAGCGTACTGTAGCTGCACTGTGAAAGATGACATTAACCTGTGTACAAAGTATCTTCTTATCTGTATTGCTCAAGCCTAGACAAAGCCAACAAATAGGTTAGATATTTAGCAGCATGTAAGACGTACTCCACTCACCAAAGTCGTCACTCTCTATGTTGCCTTTAAGACACACAAGTTTTTCCAAACGTTTTGGCACATTCAAGCGTATGCGCTCAAAGATTTTGTGTTGCTGAAACTCATGAAACCGCGCATTCACACTTTTCCCATTTTTCTCGCGTATGAGTATGTAGATACATCTTACTTGTGGAAAACTCCAAAGCAACTTCTCCAAGAGGGTTTTGCCCACAAAACCAGTTGCACCTGAAAGTTGTTCAATTTACATTGTTTACATATAGAGTTGGTGATGTTGACTATACTCTATCATAATGGATATCACATATTAGTGGTTTGGGTAAGTAATGTGTAGAAAATATTGTTAGTTGCAGGTAAAGTTTTATTTTGGGTTTAATAGCGAGGTCTTCATATCAATTCCTTTTGTAATTCTTTGATTTGAATTATTTTCATTTTGTTCACTTACACCAACATTTTGGTGTATTTTTGTTTTTATTTCGAAACACGAAAACGTTTAGTTGGTGGCTTAAACTGGTTCAGGGGCACAGCCAAGGGTCGGTTCCTGCGCTAAAACTCGATATTATATATATATAAATTGAAATATATGAAATATAGATAAATAGTTCGACTATAGGCATGGGCATGTTTATGTGCGAACAATTTTATGCAGTAATTTAAAACAGAATAAACAGAATACACTTCATTGATTTTTTAATTATAATATTTATTGTAAAAATAATATATATATATATATGTGTCGTTTGTTATACATTGAACATCTAATCTTAATTCAAGATCTGTGTAATTGTATTCTATTTTAGTTGTCATTTCTACTTCTCTTGCAGATCCAAATGTTGGGTATATTTTGCAGTTTGTTATATTTGATTAAACAATAACGTGTCAATCCCGTACTCATTACAACAGGGATTCTAAATTCAGCAACATATTAGTTGCAGATATATTACTTTTACCTCAATGGTTGTATTTGGCAAAACTTATTTCGATGGGTTTCAGATATGGTGACAATCCGGTTAAATCATCACCTTACACATATTAGGACATTGCCATCTTTCTTTTATTAGTTTGATATGTCGTAATATGTGCAAGGTGATGATCATGTCAACGGGTTCCGGGTCCAACCGGTTTGAATAGGGTTCCACATTTGTATATAAATATTTTTTTTCATGTTCACAACTGTGTCTAGCGGGTGTTATTTTAGCGAATTATATTTCATATATTTCCGTCATCATGGACGGATTTCATAAAGAATTTCTAATTGCATTTCAGCGTCATCATGAAGTATATATAACGAATTATTCGATAGAATCAAAAACATGAAAACATTTACAAACTTTAAAAACTTATACAACTTATTGTTGTATCAATTATAACACAACAATCGGTTGATTGTTGTATTGTAGTAGATACTAACAACTATGTGATGGATAGCATTTCTATTTAGAGAGTGTAAACTGCAGCTTTTGACGACTTTTTGTTAACAATGAATAACCTTCGACTTATGTTTATAGTGATCATATAGCATTTCAAATGGTATATCCTAATATTAGAACAAAATAATTATGCGTAATACGATAACTATCCGAATCACTTTATTCTATTTAAGGTTAATTTTACAGAGATATTAAAACTCGAATACTTTTCAACAAATGTCTCTGATGACAGATACGAACATCCATATAATTTATTCGCTTGGAAAAACATTAAAATTAGTAGATAATGGGCGATATCCACAACAGCTGTATGTACTTGATTCAAAAAATTTTATGGTAAAAATTCGAAAATGTGCTCACTTTTCTATTTGGAATAGATTTCTTGCTGTAGAATCTACAGTTCTTTATTAATAAAACATATACGAGTATTATATTGAAATTTAAAATTTCTTGAAAGCATGTAGTTCACCTCATGTTCGTTTTTTTACCTATGAGGAAGTTGTTGGTTATATTATTTAAGTAATGTGTAGTTTAGTGTTTTGTTTTTAATTTTTTATTTGAAAATATTTGTTCGCTTTTCACTTCTAATGATTCAGAGATCATATTGCACCGTCTTAGCACATTCACTCACCAGTTACAAATATAACAGCATCATCGTAAAAATCTTTCTGCAACATTATGCCGACGTAAATTGGAATAAATTTATTAAATTATATAAATATATTTTGTTACAAATTCAGATTCACTTTCAGCATCACTTTCATTTGTTTCGTGACGAGTGTCCACTATTGCATCGCAGCTCAGACTAATTCATGAATTTCTTCGAAAGAAAGTGAAAAGCATTTGCAAGTGAAATGGCAGCAGGCAGTAGGCAATAATCTTCCAATTCATTGCTCTGAAGCTATGAGATGTCAGGTCTATGTAGGCACATAGATGATTTCAATCCTAGTGAAACAAGTTTTAAGAGAGAGCTAAAGAGTAATGTTATTAAACTTATAAACTACAAGTATACAAGCATAATATTATCCAAGCATAGATAATAATATATATATAGGTATAATTTAATCTAAGGTAATTTTGCTGATAATAAAAATATCAATATTATAAAATATTTATAAAATATTGTAAAGATTTTTGAAATTTTTTGTATATTTATATGTATTCATATATATATTTAAATAAGATTAATGTATTATATGAATAAAGTACTAGTGTTGCTGAAAAGCTACGCTTTCTTTGTATGGTGACAAAGAAGCTTTATTTAAAATTTAGAGGGTTTTTCGAATAGCAAAGAAAGAAATAAAGGACAAACACAAAAATTTATTTTAATTTTTATTGAAATTTGGCTGACCGTACAACGCTGTTTCGAGTATTGCCAAGTACTCTTCATCAGTGGTCTTAGAAGTAGCTTTGGAAAAATAAAGAATAGGCGATTTATTTCTTTCTTTGCTATTCGAAAAACCCTCAAAATGAATATATTATTTCTATTTAAATGCCTGCCGATCCCGAAATATTAAGCATTGCTTGTGATTGAAATGGTACTTCCGACAAGACTCCCTGAAGGTATGTTTCCATTGATAATTTTACTCAAATGTAACATGAATACTTTATTAATTAAATAATATATTCATTTAGAGGGTTTTTCGAATAGCAAAGAAAGAAATAAAGGACAAACACAAAAATTTATTTTAATTTTTATTGAAATTTGGCTGACCGTACAACGCTGTTTCGAGTATTGCCAAGTACTCTTCATCAGTGGTCTTAGAAGTAGCTTTGGAAAAATAAAGAATAGGCGATTTATTTCTTTCTTTGCTATTCGAAAAACCCTCAAAATGAATATATTATTTAATTAATAAAGTATTCATGTTACATTTGAGTAAAATTATCAATGGAAACATACCTTCAGGGAGTCTTGTCGGAAGTACCATTTCAATCACAAGCAATGCTTAATATTTCGGGATCGGCAGGCATTTAAATAGAAATTAACCTAGACTTGGTTTTTAAGTCTAAGATTTGATTCAAATCGTAATAATATTCTCTTATACAATTTCTCTTATAGCACTAATTTGGATACACGGAATACAGTTGTGGGCCACATTTTACATTGATGTAAAACTACTGTAAGTCTGGCACTTGCAGTCCAAACAAATTATATACGGACTATAAACCAAAAAAAAAAAAAAGGAATTCGAATGTTTCCTAAGACCACTGATGATGAGTACTTGGCAATACTCGAAACAGAGTAGTATGGTCAGCCAAATTCCAATAAATTAACTTCTTTTCTTTGCTATTTGAAACCCTCTAAATTTAAAAAATAAAAATAGCTTCTTTGTCATTATAAGAAAGCGTAGCTTCATCGGCAAAACTCATTAAACTTTAAAAAATTTAATTTTAATTTTATTTTATTTTATGTTACTAGACTATTAAGAACAGTAATTTTTAAAGTGTACCAATCCAATAATCTACTTTTACTCGTTGCTTTAAACTCTTCTGAACTGTATTATTGATCCACGAATTGCTTCATGTTACTATCGACTGAAACTCAAGTTCTTTCACTTACAGTATCAATCAGATGTGATTTTTGAAATTTTATTTACTTTTTTGACGAATTTCATTTTTATTATTTTTAAAATATATTCACGAACTCTGTGAATACTAAGCACTTCCACCGTTGATTGCCGCCATTCTAATATATCATATCTAATTATATAAACCAGACACAAGTCTAAAATCTACAGTCATTATGTTAACAATATTTAAATTTATTAATTCCAGATTAGTTTTTAAGTAGAAATTTTAATTTTTAATATTATTTATATTATGTACATTTTACTTAATTATTAGAAAGTGAGTTAGAGTACTTTAATTGTACTTATATTATTCGTATGTACACTTAAGGATATAATTAAAATTTACGAAAAGCTTAATTGGTAATATCTTTTCTTAACTAATCACAGTAAAGTATATATATAAAAAACTAACAAAATATTAATCAAAAATTTTTTAAGCAGTTTGCCGGCTTAGTTTTAAGTTTTACAATCGCGTATTGTTTACATCACCTTCCACAGTCCAAACAGGTGCTGTTAGTGGTGATTGCTCCTTTTGAGAGGCTGGTACGTTATATGGGACAGTAGGTCTTACACGAGGTGTAAGCATTAAGCAAGTGCATATGCCGCCCAGAATGCTTAACCAACAGTAGGCACTAAGAGAGAGCGCGACATCGATTTTCTTAAGTACATTTATGAAAGGTGCAGAAAGCAACCAGATTCGTGCCCATGTCACTACAGAGAATACATAGGGCACTTTTTTATTGAGTGGCATTACCTCAGCCATACACGCTAAAATCATAGATTGAGCGCATGACACGCCAGCTTTTGGTATAGTAGCTATGATCATCCATAAGGTCACTTTAAGTTTTGGATCCACTGAAATAATTATAAAAAAAAATAAATGTATTCCCAATTTTAAACTAAACTACTTAGTATTACTTACTTTCGTCAGCATGACTGAAAGTCCACCCAAGACAACCAATTAAACCTGCCAAAATATTAAAACCACCAGCCCATTGCCATTTCCATTTATTATATTTGAGTGTGAAATGTAGGGCTAGGAAGCACCCTATTATTTCAGAGAAACCTGGTATGATAAATAATTACTCAAACTAGTACTATATGTTTTCGTATATAATGAAAGATGGCTTACCCATGGCAATTGTATTTGGCACTAAATAATCTCTACCGAATGATCGGATATTAAGCAACATTCCCATGAAATTGATTATGAACGCTGCCAGTGCTAAATGTGCAGCTATCATATGAATTTTAGCACGCGGACCACTCCAGAGTTGTAGCCAGGTTGCAGGTGCTGGCTGTGATTTTAATGTGTCCCTCAGTTTCTCTAACTGTTGACGAAAATCAGGAGGAATTTTGAACGTACGATCATTAATTTCTGCTCCTTCACGCACGATTTGTTCGACACGATCGATGTCACGTTCGTCACCATTTTTGAGTAGCCAACGTGGTGATTCCGGTGTCCATAATAAAAGTAACATTAATAAAAGGGTGGGAAATGTTATTCCCAAGTAAATATGAGTCCAATGATTAAAGAATGAGGATAGCCCAGGAAGCAATATAACACCAATCGACCAGAATGTGTCGTACAATATAATGGCACCAATGCGATAGAGACCTGCAGTTATATCCGCAACTAAAATGAGACATTGTATAATTAAGGATAATTAGCATGTTTTAAGAAATTTTTAACAACTTAAGAATAATAAGATTTTTGTTTGGAAAATGAATAATTAAATACATTAAATTATTTTGTGAGTGATCTGGAAGTAAACATTATTATTTATATTTTTCTTGCTCTACTTTGCTAAGAACGATGTAATGCAATACCTCTTTACCCATTTTAGATGGATTATAATAAAACATTTAAAAGAGCTGGTCAAATATTTATAAAAACTATATCATATGTTTGACTCATATCAGAGAATACAGGTAGATTTACCTTACTGAATTAGAATCAATTTCCTTCTTATATTAAGCACATTAAGCCAATTACATAGAAGTACATGAGCTCTAAAATTAAGGTTTTAATATGGAAGAAATTAAAAAAAATGCATACTGAATGGAAATTTTCAAAAAATTCTTTTCAAATTATTTTAAATTTGACAGACACAATAGAACACTATAAGCTTTTCCGCAAAATCCTTTTATAGATATTCTTTAGTTAATGTGTTGGATAGAGTTTTTGACACCGTTTAATTCTATTAATATTAAAAAAATATTCTATACGATTTTTTCTTAAATCAAAGAATAATTTTTAATTGATAAAAAATCTGAAGTAAAAAAATATAAGCTTACAGATTAGTTCCTATTTTTGTTTTTATTATTATAGGTATAGTAGCCTATAGTCTACATATCTATCGACGACAACGTCATACAATATATGAACAAAATTTTTAAATATTTATAAATATTTAATTTATTGTTTATTGTTTATTATTTATTATTTAAAACTAAAATTATAAACACATTCCTGTATAAATAACCACCTTCTATACTTTCAAGTACGAGTACTGCGCCCTGAGGTAGAACTTAAACAAACTTCGAAACCTCGGCGTTAGTTATATAGACTACTATATAATAATAAAAACAAAATGAATACTAATCTATATGTTTTTATTTGTCATCCACATCAGTCTTTTTTCTTCTTTTTATCAATTAAATATAATTCAAGAAGTGAACTAACAACTACTCTAAAGAGTAATTTGTTGCAGATTAATCATATATGCAATAAAATGAGGCCACATGGATGGCAGTAGTTTATGTTCTGTACTCTACTGTATCTTCTATGATAGATTTGTACTCTTACAAGAGAGAAAAAAATTAGCAGATCATAGTAAATAAAATAAAATAAATTGCTTTAATAAAACTTAGAGTTATTTGTCTAGAATTTATGGTGTAGCCTCAGACTATAATAATCAATTAAAACTTATGAAATAAATTTATTTCTGTCTGAATGTAATTATACCCAATATTTTTGCTAAGTTTGATCTTAGAAGTGGGATGAGACATCGGTAGATTTATTTATTTTATCGTTTATATATCGACAATAGAAATAACTATGTATATATTTTCTATAGTAGTTCTAATTTAATGGGCGTTGGTCGTATACTGATCACCTTGTCTATGTACGAACCAACGCTATTCCTCTGGCACCACAACGGGTCATTATTTGAGCTCAAATGGGCTTTCTTGGTACACAAGGCCGCCACTCTAACCTTATCTAACCTAACCTAATTCAATACGGTTTAAAATTTTAAACAATGATTTTGAATAAAGATTATATGAAATTTTTCAATATGTTTGTAACGTAATGAAGAAGACGTCTCATCTTATATGCATTTTGGATCAACATTATAAGCAGAATCAATGTAGTGATATCCTTCATGTCAATCTGTTAGTCTATAATATTATTCATTTGGATTCCGATAATGAATCCAACACCCAAACAAAATAACTACGCAGAATGATGTAACATCTATAAATATGTGTCTGTGTTTGTATGTCCCTTAGTTTAGAAATCTCGCATTCCTACTCATTTTTTTTTAAACAACAAAAAGTTAAGTTTAACTTTTCATTCAGTTGGTTTATACTATCTTGCGGTATCCACTTAATTTTTAATTTTTAATAATAATGCGCCTGAACTTTCACTTATGTGGAAGCAATATATTGAACAGCTGTTTTCCGATAGCACAATAGAACCAATACATAATATAAGAAATTTAATAAGTATGTCTGGACCAAAGATAAGCAAATCAGAGATCTTAAAGGCAATAAAATCTTTAAAAAATAATGAGGCTACTGGACTTGATAATCTCCATACGGAAATAATAAAATTGTTTGAAGACGAAAGTATCGAATATTTAGAAAAGATAGTCAATAATATATACAACACTGGTATATACCCAGATGACTGGCTGCAATCGACGTTTATAGCGATACCCAAAAGCAATGCCAGATGCCAGAAAATGTGATGAGTTCCGCTTAATATATCTAATGAATCAAAGTCTCAAATTATTTCTTAAAATACTACACGCAAGAATATACAAAAAATGTGAAATGGTAGTGGGTCGTACACAATTTGGTTTTAGAGATGCTATGGGAAGCTATATTCTGCCATGAGAAGCTATATTCTGTCTGCAAGTTCTGGTTCAAAACTGCAAAGCTGTGCAAAAAGATGTCTATATGTGTTTCATAGATTACTAGAAAGCATTTGATAAAGTAAAACATCAAAAACTAATTGAAATACTCAGAAGTATTGACATTGATGAGAAAGATATTCAGTGTGTTTCAAATCTGTATTGGAATCAGATGGCAAGCGTCCGTTTTGGTGACGTAATAACAGAACAAATACCAATAAAAAGAGGTTTGAGACAGGGGTGTATACTATCACCACTTCTATTTAATATATATGCAGAAAGAATATTTGACGAGGTTTTTCAAAACGGTAACGACAAAGGCATCAAGATAAACGGCCAATATATTAATAATATAAGATACGCTGATGATACCACGATAATAGTGGACAATATTTATGACTTACAGGAGCTCATAACAGCATTGAGTGAAAAAAGCAAAATGTATGCCTTAAGTATAAACATAAAAAAGGCAAAACTTATGGTAGCTATGACCCCACTAAGAGAATTGTAATTGATAATCAGTATATTGAGAGTGTTTGACCATTAAAGTATCTGGGATGTTCCTTGAATGAAATTTGGGACCCATATCAAGAAATCAAATGTGGAATTGAAATGGCCAGTAGTAGCTTCATGCGGTACAAAAATATATTAAACAATCCAGAATTTAGTCTACTGCTTAGAATGATATATATGAAATGTTACGTATGGTCTTACTCTATGTTGTAGAAACGTGGATTTTTAAAACAACCGCAATGAATAAATTAGAGGCTTTCGAAATCTGGTGTTATCGCCGTCTATTGAAAATACTTTGGACTGATAGAGTTACCAATAAAGAAGTGCTCAAAAAAATGCAGCAAGAAAGAGAACTGCTTAAAACCATGAAAAAAAGGAAAGTAGCATATTTGGGACACATAATACGTGCACCCAAATATGAAGTATTGCAACTTATACTTCAAGGCCGTATAGAAGGTTACAGAGGCATTGGGCGGAAACAACTTTCATGGTTAAGGAATATCCGCACCTAGACAGGACTTCGAACTATTGGCGAACTGATAGCGATAGTAAACAACATATCGTGAAACGCTTTTTGAATCCTGTATAGATTGTAGTTCAGTTTAATTTTTACCTGTTATGATTAATTATAAGTATTATTATAGAAAAATTGTAGTGTTAAAAATTGAAATTGAAATTATGTACAAAAAAAAAATTATTGTCAATAAATGCGACCGCTGACACTCAAACTGAGTAGGCAGTCTAAGAAGAAGAATAATAATGCAAATAAAATTACTTTTTATTTCGAGACATCCAATACCTATAAAATTCGTGTTTGATACAGAATGAAATATTTCTCATATCTAAAGATATTGTTTGCAATTCATCAGTCTCTAAAAATATTTATATAAATCGTATGATTTCAGACTGTTGATAAATAGAAAAAAAGACATAGTGAGACCTGAATTAGTGGCAGATCAGTCAAATGTCAATTAAGTAAAAAAGATGTTGCTTTCGTTTTGTACGCTGATATCGAGGCACTTGGATATAACTGACGATTTTTGTGAAAACAACTAAAAGTGTCTTTAATAAGGTTTTAGTTAAGCTTAACAAAATATGGCAACCAATCAGTCCAAGATGTTTACTTTTAGTCATATATATGGTAATGTACTATGATAGACCTATAGACCTTAATCTTCAATGTTTTTGCGTGTACTAACGAAATACTTATGGAAACTTAAAGAAGATTTAGATATCAAAATTTTGTTCTTCCGTTAACGATCCTGAGAGTTTGTGATTTTTTAGTTCATATGTTAAACATGAATAATAATAGATGTCTTTCTATTATAAAAATAATAATATGTGCTGGGTCATTCTTATTTTATCGTCATCATACATAATGCAATGTCTAGAAATCAATCTAGACATATATATGTATATGTATATGTACTCTTCTTTACTTCAAAAAATACATTTGATGTCTGCTAGAGAATGTTAAAAGCATATACATATTGTTCAGTACGAAAGAGTAGTTATGAATATAATTGGAGTTGGGTAGCGAATCTTTTAGAGGGCGAAGCCACCAGCATTTTTTATAATTTCTTTATACAAATAACATGTGAAATGGTTTGTTGATTGATTATTGATTAACAGATTATTGAATTGTTGGAGATATAAAGTTTTATGATTGAGTATTTGAGTTCTAAAGATAACTAAAATTAATTTTATTTTCCATATATGAGCGACACACTAACTAATGTAATTAATTTTTAGTTTTACTATTTATTTATATAAAGGATATTAAAGATTTGGCAAGGCCAAAGATAACTCTTTTTCCGATTTCAACTTACAAATAGCTTGCCCAGAGGTGAACATGATGGCACAACACACTGCCGAAAGACAGCGAAAAGCACAATGTAAACTGAAATCCCGTGCATAACCGGTAACAACTCCACAAATTATTTGAGCCACCATGCCAATCAAATAAACATTTCTTGGACTAACACTGTAAAAAATAATATGATTGTATAGGTTTTCAAGTATTCAATGTAGCACTTACCGTAACATTAATTTTGTGCCCACCACGCCACCAACAAGCACACCAAACAGATGCCAATATTGAGTCCAAGCCACAAAAATATCACGAAGGCAAACCAAATCAAATTCCATTATTAGGGACTGAAAGTCAAAATTATATAAAAAATTGGTACACTCCTCTTTTCCAACAACTGTACCGCTGTTTGAACTCTCCAGTACATAACATTGATTGTCTGTAATAGTTTCATTAGGGTTTAAATAATCAGCATTGCATTCAAATTCTGTGCCAGGATACATTTCGGGTGCTGTGAAAATAATGCAAGCCATGAACCACGAAGCAGGAATTTTGCAGAGAAATATTATAAGAACAGTGCGTAGTTGCCATATACCGAAATCACCTGTAATAGTACCAATAATATCGGGCGGTGGTGGCGATTTGGATGCATCCATTGCTGGACGTGGTATGTGCCTATTTGAGATGTAAACATTTGAAGATGTATTGTCTTGTAGTCTTTGCAGATTTGGGGAGGTTGAATTTCTGTTTCCATTGTTGACGAGTGACATAGTGTGTCAAGTGTATTTGATAAAAAAGTTAAACGGAAGGTTTTGCACAGTTTATTTCTTCTGATGTAAACAACATAACATATATGTTTTTCGTAATTCTGTAATTAAAATAATGAATGGAAATTATATTAACAAATTTAAAGAAATTATATTTTTTTTTGAAGCAAATCTGTTTATAAGTATCTATAAACATTGTCACAGTATCTTATACTTCTCTCCAATCAAAGAATTTATGAAAATAATTGCTTTGAGTGAATTAAAAAAATATTTTAAAAAAATCAGTGAACATTTTTATGACGTGTATTCACCATCAAATAACTTTAATTGAAACAATTAACAAGAATAAAATATAATAAATAAAAGCAGTTGTCGATTACTGGTTAATTATTGTCTTGCACCATTACGTTTTTTATGCTCAATCAGCAAAGCCTTGGATATTTTCAAACAAATTAGTGACGATCTATTAATATTTTATGCTATTTCTAGTCTCCAGAGATAAAACACGACATTAAAATTTTGTAGAAGACTTAAAGTTTCTTCTTGCCTTCTTTCTTCTTCTAGATGTTATTTATAAACTGTTCTGTTAAATTGGCAATAAGTATTTCAGATGATGTCCAAAATAATCCAATAATAATAAAAATACTTTCAAGAAGATCGCTAAAGGTGTGTGTCTTTCTAGTTTAGTTTTATGCATCTGAAAAGGGGTTACATTATGTTTATTACTAGTGAGTTTGGAGTTTAATCAAAAAAATATAACCAAAAATATATTAATAAAAAAAAATTTTATCCATATATGCTATATTTTCCTATTCAGTATTGAATCAGTTTTATAAGTTATACTCCTTCTGCTCAAAAAGGACGGATTTTGTAAATAAAACACACAAATTTAAATTTTATTCCAAATTTATTTTATCTCCTTCAAAATATGCGATACACATATGCCAACGCTTAACCCAATCTTCCATACACTTTAGTTCCTTCAGCGAATTCTCTTTTACCGATTCAATTGACTTAAAACGCTTACCATGAAGGGGCAATTTGAGTTTAGGGAACAGGAAAAAATCGCACGGCGCCAGATCTGGCGAATATGGTGTCTTAGCGATGATAGTGGTGCCGTGTTGAGTCAAAAAATCGCGTACAACAAGAATTTTCTATAGTAAAATCGCTAAATGCACTTGAGGTAGTTTCACATTAACAGCTGCTATAAACAAACTATTTGACAGATGGCGCTCAAATTTGTACCATATGTCAAGAAAGGGTGCACCAACAACATAAAATTTTTTGAAAAAGGTCTATTACTTAAGGAGTAGTTAACAAACAACAAAATCCGTATACGTTTTGAGCAGAATAATATGATATGAGTCAGAATGATATGAGTCACTTGGAATTTCCAATGAGAAACTATGATAAAATTATGTATTTAATTTTTTGAAAATATAAGTTCTTCATATATTTTAGTTTGAACGAGTTATTCAGGTACAAAATGGTTGGTATTCCAACTAAGGAAAGTATAGCTTATATTATAGATTTATTTGTTTTTGTGCAGCCATAAGTAAATGGAACAAAGCAGGTAATTGTGTAAAATCCAATAGCAAACCAATAGAATTATAAAAATTAATATAAGAAGAGTGTCACGGGTTGGGCATTCCTGGTCTGAATATAATTTCACTACTCATTAGTACGTTTTTAGATCAATTTATTTGAAGGAAAGTACCACTTTAGAGTAGCTATCGAGAGCAAAGAAAGGTAACATTAAAACGTTAAAATAGTTTTTTATGGATAATAGAAATCACATTTTTAAGTTTTATTTATAATTTTAAGTTATTCTATCCGCGATAGAAGGTTGCAACCGCGCACTACGTGATTAGAACTAATCAAAGAGTCTTCTTTGTGTAAGTATATATAAAAAGATAACCAATTAACGAGATTTTTTTTATAAAGCCAATATATTTGACGAATTTTCATGCAAAGACTTATATCGGAATAGCATTTTTTAATACGTATTTATTCAAAATACACGGTAAAAAATTTTAGAATCATATACTATAACTCCATGAAACCTTTTCGAAAAAATTATGAAGTAATAAAGCAAGTGTTCGATAGTTTCAAGTTGGAACTATAACGTCAGCTCCTAGATTGTTTGATTTCCCACCAGTAGAGAGTTTTAAGAGAAGTATTTAAAGTCAATACTTTTGGCTTTGAAAGAAAACGTCAGGAGGGCCAATGTCAGAAGAACTTTGTAAGATGGTTTTTAAGGTGTTTGTGTAACTTTGTATTGATTGAAATATTCATTCGTTTATTGCTTTCTAAAATCCGACACATACAACAGCAGTTTATCATATTTTTTGCTTATTTCAGCTAAATGTAATATACATGGCAAATATAAGAAAACAGTTATAAACATACTATATAAGGTATAAATTTACTTGAACTATATATATCCTATCCTCAGTTTTATTTTCGAGCTATATCTTTTATTAAGAGAAGCACATAACTATACTTTATATATTTTAATTAATTAAAATTTTAAAAAGTTATCAGTAGTGCCAAGGTCCATAATTTATAAGTCCATTTTAATTGTCCTATACACAAAAGACAATTATATTTAATATTGCACATAATCAAAACAAATATGATTGTATTTTTTTTTATATACTCGTACAACACATGTTTTCTAAGAACTACAGAAATATTTAGACTGTAAAGAATGACTGTAAGAAATTAAATAAAAACTCACATATCAAAGAATTTGTTTACATGATTGGATTTTAATTGGTAAATCTGATATTGCAAAATCAATTAAAGAGTTTTTCATACGTTCAAGATCATATTCATTACACCCTACGCACTTATTCAGTTGATATAATTTTGATAATAGTAATGATATTATAAAAATATTTAAGAATATATAGAGATAATATATCAAACAAACAGAATAATATTGAAATTTAATAATTAAAAATAAAAAAATATAATTAATTTAATTACGAGTATATTACAGCTGGTTTATGGTTTCGTTCTAATATAAACATAGCAAGTTAATTTTTAATAAAACTTTCACAGCAAAGTAACAAAACTCCAGAAAAATATGCGAACATAAAAGTCAAGTACGGCTTTGGGTCAGTTGGGTAAGGTGCGCTGACTCTGAGCTTCAAATTGGGATGGGTACGAGTTCGATTCCTGTTACTTGAAATACAAGAATTATTTTCAAGATCACTGATGATGGGTACTTGGCAATACTCGAAACAGCCAGATGGTCTATGGTCGACAATTAATTAAAATAATATAAAAACAATTTTTGTTGTTGTAACTCACTACTATTCGAAATACTTCTTTATGCAAGTTTATGCAAAACACTACATAGTCGAATTTTTTAAAACATCCGGATAGGCAGCATATTGATAATGTAATTATTTACTTAGTTAATAATTAGTAAGTTCATATGAAATTAATTTCAAAAAATACAAATGATTGATATTCAAAATCAATTTAGAGTTTTGCAGCCACCATTGCGTATACGTAACATTTTTTAATTAATTGTGTGTGACTATATTTTATTTCATCAGAAAGTTGAGAATCAACACAACACACTGCGTTTGCTAATTTTTAATCAAATATTTAATCTGAAAATGTCACACCTGAGCAAAAACATATTTGCTAATTAAATTAGCAATGATTTTGTTGTAAATTATAAATTTTTTTTTAATCATTTCGGGTTTGAACTGTATAATAATTGTTAAAAAATAAATTATCGTTTGTGCTGTTATCATTACTAATAAATTATTTATGTATTTATTTGTTATTATGAAGAGTGTCTTTTCTGTTAAATTCCATTCCAAATTGAAAAGCATTAATGCACTTCTCATATTGATACATATCTAAGTACATACATATTTTTCTCTGGTCGTAATATGAGTACGTCAGGCACTTAAATTAAATTTCATTGGCACACATACGGTTTTCACTTGGGAGATTACATTTTCTTCTTAGTTAAACAATTTAATCAATAATGTTCCAACATTAATTTGTCAATATTAACTTTTGTTAAGATAATTTGCTCAAGTAACAACAAAGAAACATTCTTTAGACTTCAGTTGTACTATATACGCATATATAGGTATTACATACATATACCATATTATATGTACCTATGTACACTTTTGTATCATAAGTGATACAAAGATCTTGTAATCTATTCAGTTATTTATTTACTCTGAAGTATAAAATTGTTAAATTAATTGAGTTTTTAACAAAATATATATTATCGAGACTCATTACTCATCTTGTCATTCTCATGAAATAATTGAAAAGGTGGTGGCAGTTAATATTAAACTGAATCAATTATTAAAAGGTGTTTTGTTCTTCTAACTAATAATAATAATAATAATAATAATAATAATAATTTTAGCATTGAAAAAGTATTTATAGATGTTTCTTACAGAAATTATTTATAAAGTATTTTTTCCTTTTATTCACTTTTGTGGGTCTGTCAGGTTGTGCTTCCATTTTGGCTTATATAAAAGTATATATTTCAGTAGCATTGCATATGCAATATCATTATATTCAAAGTGGGATGATATTAAGAATTTTTTTTATTTTGGCTTATTTTTTATTATATCGTACGAAATCGTTTTCATGTTTTGTTTAGTACTTTGTATTAGCAACAGTCTGTCGTACTATTTTAATGTGTACATTTACGCTAAATTGAACACTAACAACATGCATTAGTGAAATGAGGAAGTTTACTTTTTTAGTTGTGTTTTATTGAAACGAAAATATTTTCAAATAAATAACTTCAATTTGTATTGAGGAAATTTCTGTTATGTTATTAAGTAAAGTAATTGAAGTGAAAAATAATTTTAACAAATAATGTTATGGATTTTATAAATTTTAATTCAGCCATTTTGGTGCTGTTAGCAGTATATGCATATATAGATATATTTAAAATTCGTTTTACACTGACTACTTGCATGAGCGAATTGACGGGGTTCATAAATTGGCATTTTCAAATGGAGGTTTGCGTAAGTAAGCTTTTGAATCTAAAATAATTTTTGGACCAACCATAGAGTCGCTTCAAATACCACCAAATGTTCGTTGTAAGTGATTTCTGGAAACATCTATTGGTTTAATTATCCTTCAGACATTTTTCATGTTTGAAATTAGAAATTTTTATTCCTCTTTTTGTGTACGAGTAAATGTATATATTTGAAATAAATGAACCATTGATTAATTGTATTAAGTGAAGGAGAATTTTTTGAGAACTTTTTATGATTGCTAACATAAGCTATTGAACCATGAATTACCTACTGCAGGCAATTTATAAACAGTTTGATATTTTCAATACTCAATTGAACACTCACAAGAGTAGAATATTTTTACATTTGTAGTATGATCAAGTGTGGGATCTTCTTAATTTCAGTCATATTTATTTATATAGGTTATTAGGTTATTGATGCAATTTTATATAATGGAATAAGGACGGTTAGCTTTAGACACAGCTTAAGTAGGATATTTGATTAGGTTTTATAGTAAAATTTAACAGAAAAACTACTCGTATGTAGGATCATATCTGTTTCAAGTCATATATGTTTTTGTATACAAGTTTAAAAACGAGTTACTTAAAAAATTTATGCTGGTATATATTCTGTGGGTTGGGACAGGTTTTCTTTATAATTTGTCCGTAACTCTTAATGATTTTATTAATTTTTTAAAATATTAAATTATGGATTCTAACTTAAATTTGAGAAAAATTCATAATAGATAATCAAAGAGAAATTGAAAAGTAGTTCAACTGTTAAAGTTGTCTTATTCTGTTAAACTTCTATACAAATTTCATACTTCTGAATCATTTTCTTTATAATCTGTTCCAATCACTTATAAAACAGACATTAGGAAACTTTTCAAATGTATTTTATAGTACTTAATGACTATTATTATCACAAAGTCATGTTTATTTTATAAAGATAGAATAATAAGAGTAAGAACTGATTTGAGACAAATAAATTAGCGTCTTCCTTGACGCTAACAATATAAGACAATATGTAGAGTGACTTTTTAAAGCATAGAAAGTTCAGGAATCGTGGATATGTGACTAAAACACATAATTAGTACTAACAGTCCTCTGCTATATAATACTGGTATTTGTATAGAATTCACACAATTTCTATTAAGCTAAAGAAAAGAAGATTTAATAAATTTCAAGACCACTGATGAAGGGTATTTGGCAATACTTGATACAGTTGTATGGTCAGTCAAAAATTCACTAGCAATTTATTAGAGATTATTGAAAATATATTTCGTTATTTCGTTGCTGAACATTATCAGGAAATAAAGTGATCGTTTGTTGCAATCGTTTCTTCGATTGTGGAGGCTGAACTACAGTTCACTTTACCGAGATCTACTATGTATCTGATAAATGATGATGTTAATTTCAGTTGCATTGAAGATTGAAGGTTTTATTATATAATTCCTTTTACAAACACAATCCTTGAGCAATGAAATACATAAAAAGTCCAAATTATAAGTGGTTTTTTTATTTTATTATGTGTATTTATTTTCTTCGTATATTTAAAGAGTAATAATATAATAATTATGACAGAACTTAGAGGGCACTAGCTGTAGTAACTATCGGCTCTTATTAGTTAGTCTAAAATGTTATTAAATGGACTTACTATCGATATCAATAGTGTATATCACTGTAATGCTAATTTATAGTTGTCTACATAACTACTATAAGATTTGCACTGGATATTATTAAATTTAGTAATTTATAGATCACTTAACTATATTCCAGGTATATCAGGTAATCATTTTTGTTAAAAGATGTTCGTCTGATACATGTCCTGGTAACTAGAATTACGACAATATTTCAAAATAAATATATGTTATAGAGTATCAGGAAATGATTTTTTCATAATCACTTAAATCGTCCGTCTTGTCTGACATTAATATAAAATTTTTTCTTCTATATTTATATTCTTTCACATAGATTATTAAAATCCTAAAGATTTAGATTATTTTCATTTAACACTGAACTAGAACTTGCACACAGTGTGAAGGTTACTTGCTGCAGTCGCATATTTATAGATTATTCTAATTACCTTAAAGCAAACTAAGAGTGCACTTGCAATAGACACAAAAACATATTTTAATATCTTTTTCAACTAAACTAAAAATAATTCATTTATTTTATTTATATTATTTTTTAAAAGTGACGATTTCATTCGCAAATCGTGAAGTTCGGTGTTTTTTCTTACGGCACGTCCGTTTGGTAAGGCGTCTTACATGAAACTAAACCTAAACCGATCAGAACCATCTAAGTTTATGCGAAAATACCGAAGACCGTTCACCGCGCACGGCTGAACTGATTATGAAAAAAGTATCTACGAGTGTAGAGCTCTCGTCGGGTGAGTATTCGTCTTTGTCCACTGGGTCAGGTTCGCTTTTTATCGAAAGGGTGCCAAATGTTTCGTCTGTGCAATTTACTTAATGAATTCTCGTTGAAGTGTGCGTGTGCTTCTGTCTATCAATTGATGAACGAGAAATTTTAGTTTTTGTATTGTGTTTGTCTTTTTTGTCTTTTTTCTAATAATTAAACAAATAAATTGTCTTTTTAACATCAGATAGCGGATAGGCTCGGATAGCGGATTTTGAGCAATTCACACTCGAAACTTTCAATAATTTTCCATTCAGTTTAATAAACAAAACACGACTTCCAATTTTCAAGCGAACAACCAACAGAAAACAAATAAAAATATGACCAAAAGTTGTTAATAATTAATAAATAAAATTAATATTGATTTTTTGTTATAAAAAAAAAAATGTTATTTCTTTACAATAAAAATCAATGTGTTAATCACAAAGTGAATAAAATTGCTTATTAAAAAAGATGTGTGATGAATGAACTCTATTCATACGAAATAATACTTGGGGGGTTATTAGAGAGATTTTAATCATTAAGAACTTTTAACAATTTTTAAGAACAGATGCTTTCCGAATCTATTCTTCCATACTACTGCTTCCATTGCACTGCAGTAAATCGAGTTAGGACTCCTGAGTCCTATACATTAGAGCATTCCAATTTTAGATATAAATTAAGATGAATTCTTATTGCGAATAGATCGTTTATTGCGGCAATAGCTTTTTGTGAGCTTCAGGGGTCTGTGGCTAGTTGTTGTGTTCAGTATACTTTCTACTTGAATAGACTTTAACAGATCAAAACGACGTGTTTTAGTAATTACAGCTATCTGTTTTAGTGTCTCACATCATATACATGATTTTATTTTCAACTGAAGTTGATAAAAGAAATTCTTTAGATATAAGTATCCGAAGTATACCATCATTAGGTTGTGTTTGTCTTTTCTATTTCCCATTAGGAAATAATTATTATGTTATAGTTTTTTATATCAATTAACACTGTCTGATATCTGTAAGACCCAGTTAGGCAATATTAAGAATACACCATAATAATTTGAGATATTTACAACAGTAAATGCGTTAATATACTTAATAAATATTTGTTTTTGTAATTTATAAGCGTTATTAGCAAAATCATTTTTATTAACCAAGATAGTGTAAAATGTGAAATACTTTTAATGGTCGAGAAACTTGTTTGTCAGAGTCATGATAAGATTGTCTATATTGACTTATAAATTGCTAGAGTTGTTAGATAATTAGCAAAAATATATATATACATATATACATACATAATTAAATGAAATAATAATAAGAAAATGTAATTAACTTAAAACAATTGATTAGTTGCTGAAGGTGTTAGGCGCATATTTAGATAGAATTGAAATCTAAGTCGAAATTTTCTAAACTTAAGTACTGCGCGAATAAGATAAAAACAAGCTAACCCACATTAGTGCATGGATACTCATCTTATTTATCTTTAGAGCTAATCTGCAACCGTGCAATGCACGTGCGAATAAATTTCCATTTGTTTTATTTCGCAATACTAAATATTATTCAGATACTTTACCTGAATTTGTCGAAATGACGATCATTACAAATAGTTATATATTTTATGCATATACATTGTGACCGAAAAGTTTCCGGAAAATTTTAAATGAAACGCAAAATTCTTAATCTTCATCAATATTTATTTTATCTCCTTCAAAATATGCTCCATTAGAAGCGATACACAAATGCCAACGTTTCTTCCAATCATCAAATCATTTTTTATAGGCGCTTTCCGGTATGGCTTTGAGTTCCCTCTGCGAATTCTGTTTTACGTCTTCTATGGATTCAAAACGCGTTCCTCTGAGTGGTAATTTGAGGTTGGGAAACAGGAAAAAGTCACACGGTGCAAGATCAGGTGAATACGGTGGCTGTTCGATGGTATTTATTGAATGTTTGGCCTTAAAATCGTTGATAATGTTGAACAAATTGAGGTGAATCGGAACAAGCCGGGCGTTGACACGTCGCATACACAAATTGTCCACCAAAATCAAACGAGCCATCTCACGACCGATGCCTAGCTCTCGTGCTATCTCTCTAACACTCACATGAGGATTTTTGAACACGATTTCCTTTGCCTTTTCAATGTTTTCGTCGGTGGTAGAGGTCGAAGGTCGTCCAGAACGCGGCATGTCTTCGACGGTCGTACGACAGTCCTGAAAGGCTTTGTACCACTCATAAACTTGAGTTTTCGATAAAACTGATTCCCCATAAGCCTTTTGTAGCATTCGCAACGATTCTGCACACGAAATTTCGTTCGAAAAACAAAATTTGATGCAAACTCTTTGTTCAATATTTTTTTCCATTGTTTTTTTCGCAACGCACTACTGAGGTGAACTGGTTTCAACAGCTGCCGTAAACGAACTGTCCGACAGATCGCGCTCATTTTTGGCATAGTAATTAAGGACAGTGCTGCCAAACTACATAAACTTAAAATATCGAAAAATATACAGCGCGCGAATTTTAAATGAGAATTTCCGAAAGCTTTTCGGTCACAATGTATATGTATACATATATGTATATATATATAACACATTATACATTTATTCAAAAGTAGATTGTGAATGTTTATATAATCTTTATCATTAGTTTAATGTAGTCGATTTATTATCAAACATTGTTTGTTGAGGATCGACAAATTTTTCTACACCCTTCACACCCATATTACTACAGATGTATATAAAATAATTCATTATTTTTCCAAAAGATATCCGAAGCATTTATTTATGATCTATCTGCCACATCTATCTGCTTGTCCATCTATTTAAATGCAAATCAGTCTCACAACTTTTGAGTGAACTTACGAAAATGTAGTGCAGGGATATCCTCGGTTGACTAAACTTGATTGACTATATAGAATGTCTGCTATATAAAATGAACATTCGCAACTAACCTCACGTCAGCATTTATAAAGACATTTCGTTAAAATTTAGTTTGTCAGTATATAACAATTGGATGTAAATTCATTGTTTAGATTTAAGTTTTTATAAAAACCACTATATCGAAACGGAATTTTAAGATGAAGGTATATTTTCTAATACATATCTCTACCAAAAATCGCACCAGTTGATTTTAATTTCCAAACATCTATACGAGCTGATGGTTCTTCAGCAAGTTCTCTCATGTATCAAGCTTTTATGGTACGATTTAAGTTAAAAACGGTTGATTTGTTAATATTATGATAATATTTTACCATTTACGATTCGATTGCAATATAGGTAGCATATAAATTTATGACTCTAATTAATTGAGTTTACAACTCTTTGACAACTTGTCAAAGTTAAACTTGATTTTTTAAATGGAACTATTTAAAAAAATTGGAACTATTTATTTACATAAGCAATTTAAACGAAAAACTTTGTACTTGAAATTTTTAGAAGCTTATATCACGCATAGCAAAGCCACTATCCAGAAACTCCAAGTTGCTCAAAGTCAGGCTTTCCGAAACCTCTTCGAGGTGTCATGGTACATTCGCACGAGTGACATGTTAAGAGATCTCAGAATAGATGCGTTCAAAAAATACATAAGGGAAAACTGACAGGCTGCAGTCACTAGCCGTACGGGGCGGTACGACTAGTGACTGCAGATCTTATGCAGGTCTTAGATCAGTCATTTAATAATTAGCGAAGCTTGTGAGAAATATGTTACATAAATTAGTCAAAGAGAAGGGAGAGACTCTGTAAAAAACCTAAGAAAGAGTAAGAAAGAGTAAAAGTGTCCAGTTGCACTAATACGGAAAAACCTGAACATAAGAAAACGTTAATAATATATATCGGTTGATTTTTTATCAACATGTGGACTGTCGATATCACACATTTTCATGATTTGAGATGTAATTGATATGTTTCTCGAGAAGTCAGTTTAAATCCAATGGTTTTTATTCAGGGTTTTATGGTTTATTTATTGCGTGGAGCAGATTGTGTTAGGTTGATAGAGCTCGTGCTGATGTAACTGTCAGCACTTCCACTTATAGTCTTCTATTGCTCATTGTGATGCTTTCAAAGTTACCTAGGAGAAGAAAGTTACACTATCCTTTGTTATATCCGCGTAATTTTCTTGTTAAACCATTTCGTTTGCTAGATAAAGCTGATGGGATTCAACAAGTGCCCTTTAGTTATCTATGCCGGTTCTGTGAGAGCCGTCTTCAAACGGTTTGTGAGGAAACATTGAGTTCGCTTTGAATTTAACCCTAGGTAAAGACATAGAAAGTGATCAATGGATTCTATCTCTTTTCTATGATAGCAACTTCTACATAATCTCTTTGTCTAAATAACCTATTTCTACCATTGTGTGGAATAGGTTGTACTTATGGGAACATCGAATTTGTGCATATATAAACCAGCACATTTTTTTTATATTCAAACAGTTGTTTTATTCATTGTGTTTAAAGATGAAATATATCCTTCATACTATGTTTGAATACTCATACAATTTTTCTGTTGTTCTTGCCCTAGTTTTCAAGCTCAGTTTACCTCTAGTTACCCCTAATAGCTAATTGGTTTACAATCATCTGGCTTTAACAATGTTATCTGATAACAAAAGTTAAGTATTTTGGTCCCAGTTTGAGAAGTGCCCTTTCCTAACATGACGCCTGACATATAAATCATCCGATAGCTAAACTTTTTTTAGGCACAATATGGATACACCACAACTACACTCCAGTTTATCAGTTTACATTTTAAGATACCTGCTGAGGTAAATTTGGGAATAATATGGGTAATACATCATTTAAAAGGAAATTATATATAATAACATGTATATATAATAATTGTAATATATATGTTAATAATGCTTACTTACTGACTGCAGTTCTCTTCTCTCCGAAGAGGAGAGAAATAGAAAAATTGTTGATGTAATGACGCATTAGATATTTAAATAAGTAGGGATATCAATTTTCATAAACCAAGAGAAAAAAATAATAATTTTTTTTAGAGAACCGCAATCTGGAAAATAGATATCTGGAAATACTTGTAGATAAAAAGTGGGTTATATTCTTGTGAGGTGAGGGATTGTTTGCGAATTATGGTTAACTGGCAACCATGAACAAATCATATTAAGGGAAGTCGATGACTATTTTCATTTTATTTATGTTATAGAATTAGTTAAAACATGCAATATGTTTAATTATTATGTGCACTTATTATTAATTAAAAGACCACACAAATCTATAATAGTGAATCAATTTAAAAACTGTTCAAAACAAGGTCAATGTGTGTTTAATTATGGAAATAAGTTGTAAATAATTTATTTTATTTGTATTTTTTTAATTATTATTTTATTAATGTATTATTTTAATTTTTTTTATTATCTCAATATTTTTATTGTTTACAAAGAGGAAATATATCGCATTAAAGTTCACATTTTAATTGTTTTAATGCACAAAAGAATTACTTTTATGGTAAGTTCCCAGGATTAAACTTTGTATAATATTTTGTATATAATACTTTGTATAATATTGTTACGAATTTGATCAGGTTAACAATGAAATGTTTTTAATATTATTTAATCATTAATCAATTGATATTTTATAACAAGTTAGTTGGAATTTGTTTTGAAGTGAAGCTGTGTTTTCCTAAATTTGCTTCTAGTAATTACGAGTTCTTTGTAATACTACAATACTACAATATTACAATACTATAATAAAGTATAGTTTCGCTAATTAAGAAATTTGTTTCATTTTTACAAAATCCTGTGATTCGAATATACACGCATATAGGCGATTACGTAACAATATTTATAACTTTATTATTTTTAAAATTAAATATTAATTTTAGATTTTTATATAAAGTCGAACAAATTAATTGGTATAGCAATATATCACGGGCGTAATGAATATTTTAGAAATCTATTAGCTGTAACGAATGACTGATAATCTATTCATAGATTACTTTTTCTTATAGATCGCATAGATATACAATGTTTTGTATTTACGAGAACGCTTACGAAACAAATTCAAGATTCAAACATCTCGGCGTGATATTTTCCACTACAGATGATTTATGGCTTACAATAATTAAATACTATAGGTACATATTTTAAGCAATTTAAGCAAAATCTCCAAACAAAAGAGACCATACTCAAAATAACATATACTAGTTTATTATGCACTAGTTTATTAGAAACTCTGGGTTGTGACTGCAAGGAACTTGAAATTTTTAAGCTAACAATATTTGGAAAATGTATGGACCACTTACATTGTTAGTGTACCCGATAAAAGATCCGTTTTATCAGATCTCAGCGATTCAAATGGTTTGGTTACGTTTTTCGAAAGTTAGATGGCAGCACATTTAAATGGATGATTAAGAGAAATAAAAATAATGGAATCAAAAACTGATTGCAGGAGAAGCAGTATAATATAATAGAGAGGTTATTTGAAGAGTAGAGAATTACAGTAACGAAACTCTTATTATTAATTAATTGTTTTTTTGGAAATCTTTCTTATAGTTAATTATTTGTTAATAATTTTTATGCAAGTACCAAATGTTGCACTTGTACCCTATCAAATTTCATGCTCAGAGTTCATATAAATATATTAATATTAATATAATATATTATATAACTGAAATTATGAACCAATTTGTTCAAAATTTTGACAAGAGTTCAAAATCAAGACGGGGTGTTATAGATGCTTTATACACTTATCAACAACTTCTTACAGAACGCAAAAGAAAACGCAAACTACATTAGATGCCTTCTTGACAAAAAGGCAGAAAATTGGAAATACAGAATAGACTGAATGATCTGACTGACTTAGAATTCTATTTATTTTTATGTACTATTCGTTTACATTGTTCTTGTTTTTCTAAGAAATAAATATTTGGTTTTATTATTATTAAAAAAAAAAAACATAATTATTAGATTTAATGAATAAGCAATTTTCTTTTAATCTTCCCCTAACCCCATTATATATATGTTAAGACAGCTTCGTTTAGCGCTGTTTCGCATTACGCTCTATTTTGATGGAACGTATCCTACGCGTTAACCAGGGTCTTATTGTACGAATATAATGCCAATAGCATACTTATATCTATAGTCGACTCTTCGTGTGATTCTCCTGGCTTGAGTATTGAAAGGTTTCTAGTTAAAGTTTTTCTATCTAACTAAACTATAAAAAGCAGAAACAGAAGCCAAAGTATGGCAAGAGTGGTAAGAATGGTGGAAGCATACCACCACTCTGTGTATATACAGAGTTACTCGAAGTTACTACAAGTAGCTCGTGGAACAGGCCTATTATTAATTTCTAAAATGTTGCATCTAACATAATCAAGGTTCCACATTCCACATTTTGCTTTGCTCTGGACTCACGTGTCTCCAATTTTTAACTTATTTCTAAATTTCTTAATAAGATTATAATCTTTCGAAAGATGATAATACATTTTTTCCTTAAAGCAAACAAATTATTTATATTTTGTGAGTTGTAGCGCCATCACACTATGAAGTAAATAAACTAAAAGTATATATCTATGTATTTTTACCGTATTTGTATACGTTCTATTTTACAAACTATTTTATATCGTAAAGTAGAGTTTTAGCAAGTATCACAACCATGGAACCAAATTTTGTTTTTACATCAAGAGCATTTTTGGGACATTATAGACGTTCAAATATTTTTACGGTATTTTAGATGCGTGATAAGTGGGTTGATATCTCGGAAAAGTGATATGTTGATTTCGGCTACTTATTTATGATTCTACGTTCTTAATGGATTTTTCATTTATTAATTTTTAATTTATTATGATAAATGAATAGTTCTTAGTTAAGACATTTTTATTAGATACACTGAAATAAAAAAATTATTGTTTTTTAGTTGATATTTATTCTTGGATTGATATTCTGTATTATAAAAATAAAACAACTTGAATTTGTTCAACAATGATTAAATTAGAAGCTGAAAAACTAAAAAAGTATAAAAATGTCACATAAATCTTGTTTTATTTGAGCGGCCAAGATCATTACCATAATTATTTTTGCAATTAATTCGTGAATTTTTAATATAGTTTAACCATTTAATGTGATAATAGGTCGTGGAACAGCATTTAGCAATAAAGCATAGGTCCAAATAATAAGCTATATTGATTGTGACCTTTATAGGGCCGAAATATCAAAAAAATATCGGTAAAAGCAGAAAATTTATATACAATTTTATTCAAAACGATCTAAGTTATGGAAAAATATGAAAGGTCGCGTGTGTAGCATTCTTAGCGATACAGATAAGTGGGCGATTTTGTGGCAAGTCATATTACATATGAACATATTAAACGATTGAAATTAAAAAAAAAAACACAACCTCTTAACCCTATACGTGAAGAAGCTCGCGCCAAAATGTCATTGGTCAAGAAGTGGTATCACGTTGTTTTCTCAGATGAGGAAAAGTTTAATTTAGAAGGACCAGATAGTCAAAATTATTATTTTCATGATTTGAGGACAGAGACTAAGCAGTTGGATCATTTGCACAGTCGAGTGGACGGAGTTATGGTTTGGGGAGTCATATCTTACTATGGTACTTGCGATCTCCAATTCTTAAACGCAAATATGCACGCAAAATCATACTAAGAAGTTTTAGAAAAGACCTTTACTCCATTGGAAAATTTGTTTAATCATTTGCCTTGGACTTTTCCACACGACAACGTCCCAATAAACACTGCCCGTGTTGTAAAATCCTACATTGAGTCTAGAAATGTTGTCATTCTCAACTGGCTACTATACTCATCGGATCTCAATATAATAGAAAATGTTTAGGGATGGCTGGCCAGAAAAGTTGACAAATCTGAATAAAAATTTTCAACAAAAACTGAACTAATTAAAGTTATTCAACGAGATCCTAACAGAATCTTCGGAGTCATATTGAACAAAGGAGGCTCAACGCATTATTAAAATAATTTATGAATTTATGACAAATGAATCCTTTATATGTTACTATATGAATTAACTTTTCTTTGAGTACAAAGTTGTTAAATTAATTTAAAAAAAAATGGTATTTTCAAATGAAACAAAATTTATATGTCATTTTTATTCTTTTTTAGTTTTTCAGGTCCTATTTTAATAATTGCTGAAAAATTTTAAGGTTTTTTTATTTTTGTAATAAAGAACATTAATCCCACTATAAATATAAACTAAAAACCAATAGTTCTTTTTTGTTTTTTTTTTTAAGATATAAAATAAAGAAATTAAATATGTGGAGTATGTTATTCAAGTGAAGTGCAGTTTACTTTGGGCTTTACTGGTTCCGACCAGGCGAGTCAATACATAGTCTTATTATCTAGGCACAGTGGTGAACTATGTGAGTTGCTTCTTCTCTAATTGACGTAAATAATTTTTTCAAAATTTATATAGTCAACAATATTTCAGACCCTTGTTTTCAAAAATATACACAATATAAACTAACTGAAAGCAGAAACCTGTTCACATCAATGCATTTATAAAATTTTCTATTAGTTTCTCCGTTTCACTCATTCAGACTTAGGAAACGCGTTTATTTCCTGTCCAATATGACCGGAAAATAGGACTTATAATCTATTTACTACAAACTTAAAAATACAAACAAAAAGTTTTTTAAAATTAAGGTAAAAATAGTTTAATTAATAATAAAAAAAAATACTTAGGTTACTCGTGTATTCTCAGTTTAAGTGTTAACTACTTGATCGTAAGTTTGCCAGCTCTAATTGATTCAAACTATCACACTCGTCAGTTGGTTGGCACCGTATATCTAATCGCCAAAGATCTGATATGCTGATCGTTTGTTTATATTGTGGGCTATATATATTACCATATACGGAGCTGCTGGAACTCAGTTCCGATGAGCAAGTGGATACTCTACGCATAACAATTGCAGAGTTTCGCCGATACGTATTTGGTGTAGGTACCTTCTCAATACGTGGTTGTTCCACACTCCAAAACGAACTGTTTACCATAAACATAAGGATACCATTAATGACACCCAATGTAGCAAAAACTGTAATCGGTATAAGCTGATGGAAGACAGTAAGTGTAGATATGAACGGTGCTATAGTCACACAACAACGACTGAACGTAACTACGGACAGACTTAGCATTGGTCGCTTTTCAGGTGCCACCAATTCACCAGTGCAGGTGATAAGCACAGATTGAGCTGTCGCATTGGCCAACTTAAGTACAATCCAGAAAATCAATTCCAAACCGATACGTCGACTTTCTTTAACTGAAAAAATAAACTTAAAACACTAAATTTTCAATGAGAATGCGGAATAAGCCGCTTACTTGTTCCTGGTACTAGCCAAACCAAATAAGTACTTAGTCCTGCTGCCAACATGACATAGCCAGTCCACAACCAATGACGTCTCGTAAAAAGTATAAAAAATAAACCTAAAAATACTCCCACCATTTCAGCAAAACCTGCGCTTTTACAATTTTTCATTTAATAAAACTTTTCGCTGAATTCCAAGGAACTGCTTACCTAAACTAACTGTGTTAGCATGTATATGCTCCACACCTAGGGATCTTATTAAAATCAGCATTACATTTACTAGTATACCAGTTCCCACCCAGGTCCAGTGTATAGCAAATAAGAACTTTTTCTTAGTCTTACCATCCCAAATTGACCAGTAACCAGTAGATTGTGGGGTGCTTTGAAGCTTTTTTGCGTAAGAAAGTAATTGCGATTCCAAATTTAATGGTATTTCCCGATTGTTGAATGTAGCTGATTCGAGGAGTATTTGCAGCGCTTCATCTATTTTGTTATGTCTCAGTAACCAACGTGGTGAGTCCACAATCCACCTAGTGATGACAACTGATATCTTTAGATAGCTTAGTTTTATGGGTAGTGTACTTACTTGTGTAGAAAAACTAGGACAATTAGAGAAGATGATATCGCTACATACAATTGACTCCAACTATCAAAAAAGATTGATATACCCGGCAACAGTATGAGGCCAATCGACCAAAATAATTCAAAAAGCGTTGTTACAATTATTTTGGATCTACCACCCGAGATATCTGCAACTAAACAAGTAATAAATTTATTAAATAAATAAATAAATAATAATATAAAATGAATTTTTGTTGTTGTAGTTCACTACTGTTCGAAAAAAGCGCTTTATTAAATAAATAAATAAAAACTTTTTTCATTGATATTAAAAACAATGGAAATAAATTGTATGGGATCTAATCACTGATCACACATACAAACGCCAACATTTAAATAATCTAACTCCGTAAGTATTACATATGTACTTAGATTTGCTAAAATTTCCACGTCATTCATAAAGATAAATTTGTGGCAAATCAAATACTTATTAAATTTCTTTAAAATAATGTATGAGTTTAAAATTGCTAGTTATTTAAATGGTATTGGAAATACCATAGACGTATTAGAAGTCAAAATGATCGTATCTGTACCAACTTGATCTTTTGAGTCCACAAAAATTTTCTGAGTTGAGTTTCATTCTATCAAATTAATTATAAAAATACTAATTTATTGAAAGCCAGAGAAACCCTAGAGAAAGAAACTTTGGTGTGATATATATTCGTATTATTTTATAAGTAACATTCAAGGCATTACAAATATTTTGATGAACTTGATTTGACGTTTAATCAAAATAATATGAAACTTATATATTCCAATTCCAAGTTAACTCTGTTATCAACTAAAGCATACATATTCTCACAAATTTCTGTGACTTGAAGTTCAATAATCCAAAGGACCTCTACATTGGAAAACCCTTAGCCAATCAAGACACTGCTTGATTAGTCTTTGTAGATTGGCAGAACTTTCTCCAATCTCAATAGCAGTAAGAATATCATCATGACGAAGCACAAAAACTACCACTCGACACCTCTATTCCACTTAACATCTTTTTTGAATGTCCTCATGCTCGTTCTGACCTTGATCCCCAATCGGAATCTTAAATTCAAGTCAATTGATTTAAACCAAAACAAACAACATAATTAAAACTTGCATCAAACTTCATCAAACTTGGAATTATTTATTAGGAGTGAATCAGTTCACATTAATGTTAGAAATGAAATAACTTGAGTCTTTCAAGAAAAACGTTGTGTCACAAAAACAAAGATTTTAAGTTTTTTCAATATTTAGTTTCTGTGTAGTAACGTCACTTGACGTTACAAGGCAACTCGCAACGCAATGTGCGAATACGAGTACGAGATACTTTTTTATAAATAGCAATAAACTAAAATTATTATCTGTTAAAAATATCACGATAATTAGAGCAGTTAACACCTGTTCTGTAAACAAATTTAGAGACAAATAGACAAATAATCGAACATACTTACGAATAATCTGTCCGGAAGTGTACATGAGAGCGCAGAAGAGTGAAGTTATACAACGAAAGTAGATGTGGAGCGGGAAAGTTGTCACCAATCCAGTTAAATTGCCGCACACAATCTGAAAGACCATACCGATCAACATCAAACGCCGTGGACTGATGCTATGGGAAAAAATTATGATCTCAATTATTGAGAAAGTGATTTTTGATTGATTGAATTGTGTTTTTGTCATGGAAATTTTTATTCGAATATTCGTGAAGCGAACGTAAACACTACTTAACTGCTTTAGAACGTTAAACGCTATTAAGCCACCGATGAGCGCGCCGAACGAATGAAACGACTGCGTTAAAGATACCAGCACCTGTCGGGAGCAAACTAAATCGAATTGTGTTACCAGCGAAATGTAGTCGGAATTGTGCTGAAAGTGCTCGCAGGGAATTACATTGACCTTGCGAGTCTCGACGCTGCTATTATCGAAAGTGTCCACTTCAGCTGCGTTACTACGCTTATCAGTAAATTCTATCGGTCGCGTGAACGGATTTGTGTAGTTGGCATAACGCGCCGCAAAGTTTTGCACTAATTGCTCTTCATAAATATTACATGCATCCACACGAAAAATACGATCCGTTCGTTGTTCCTCCGTTGCTGTTGGAACTGTCATCGCCAACCATCGATCGCTTGTCACATTTTGTTGGTGATCCAATTGTAGGCTGTTGCTGTTCTGTAGTTGCTCCGAAGTCTTACAGTAGTATTGTCCTTTTTGTGGAGTCGGTGCAGTGTATATAAGGCAAGCCATAAACCAAGCCGAGGGTATTTTGCACAGAAATATTAATAAAGTGGTACGCAACTGCCAGCGTCCAAAATTTCCATTGATTCGACTAACAATATCATCCGCCTCTGCTGGCGATGTTAACTTCTTACTACCATTGTTTATGCTATTGGAGGGCATTTTCACAATTTTATTTTATTTTTATGGTATTTGTTAATTTATTTATATTTAACTTTTTAGCGGAATTTACACAAGCAACCATCCGATATTGCAGAAATGAGGTGTGATTCGCAACTGCTTTTGTCCAACTTGCGAGATCGAGAGCTGGTCGCAGAACCCATCTAACTTTCGTGTTTGTCCTTTCAATTAGATCCAAATTGATGTAAATTGACAAATTGTTGACATTTTTTTCAGTGTAATATATTCATTGGTATGAATAATGAATTATTTGAACTTCCAATTAATTCGCTAAACCAAACTAAATTTCGCTAAACGAAATTTATTTTAATGAGTGAATTTAGTTGAAGTCCAGGTTAAGAGTTGCTAATTTTGATTTGTTTCAAATGTAAATGTGCTAGAGGATGGTTTAATAAATTATTTAAACGAAAACTCACGACTAAACTATGACGTTCGACTGGCTGCCAATAACAGTATCAGCAAATATTTCAGATATTTATTTTGAGAAATTATTGAAGTTATTGACGACTATAATGCCCTACTGCACTTGCAAAAAAGCATTTTACATTGCTATACAGTGGAACTTTATTGTTCCTAGGGTATTTTCAATTTTTGACTAAGAAAACCAAATTAACACAGCCGCAATGGATCGTTTTCACGTTCCAAAGATCGGTTTTTTTTAAACAAAAATCATCATAATTTTGTGAGAAAAACCATCACAAAATTACAGGAAAACGCTACCTATCCTATTTACGACAAATTTTCATGAGAAAATCAATCGCATTTTAGTATAATTCAAATCTGATCACTTTTTCGTACTAGTTCTCAAGATTTCGATAGTTTTCGGAAAAACTAGCGATATTAAAACTATTGCAATAATGATAATTTGGTTAGATGTGAAGTGAAGTAGGTATGACCCTATGGATCATATTAACCTTCATTTCCAAGATGATTCATCAAGATGATTGATTGTCTCTTGGGTGACAGTAAGTCGTCTCTGACAGAAATGGAATATAGAACTTTTACACACATTCTTTCTAACTATACGTTATGATTATGACCTGAACAAGAAGGGTTACATCCCTCTGATATTGGAAAATCCTCTTTACTTCTTCGTTTTATATACGTTTCTTGCTTTTACTTCGCAAGAAACGCATTTAGTCTGTTGTTTATTTCGCCCGTAGAAAGCCAAAGAGTTAAAATCATAATTAAAACTTCGAATTAATTTTGTATTTCATTGAACCATAAAAATATCCACAAGATAAGCTAAATAAGATAAAGTTTTAATTTATTATTTCTTAAATAAAATTAATAATTAATAATTTTTCTAAAGTTGAATCACTATGGTATATAACTATATACTTCAGCAAATCTTATTTTAAGGGAAAAAGACCCATTCTTATGATGTGTTTACATATTTAGGTATCTAACAAAAAACATCCACTATACTAATTTATGACTTCTAGAGCTTGTTTCAAAAGCAGAGCCTGTTGTAAGCAAATGTATCACACTAAGATGAAGAGCAATGTTAATTACCTGTAGTAGTAACGGCAGCTGGACGCAGGTCACACCAATGAAAGTCTTAAATGTCTAATAGAGACCCTACCTCGAAGTTATACGAACGTAATCTTGGGGTAGGACAAGGTCTATAGGAATGAAGGAGAGTGGTTTAATCCGTGCAAGTCGGGCACTCACTTTACGTGGCGCCGGATTGTGGTCAGTGTGTGGAGCATTCCACTCCTCCTTGCCGCAAAAAAAAATAAACAAACTTTTTGTTTTTTCGCTTGTTGATAAATTGTAAAAAGGGTTTTAGATGAGATAAAGTTCTCGTCCGCAGATGAAAAAAATTAATGTGCGGGTCAACTTAGAGAAATCGGTCTTCGGACTTTAGATAAAATTGTATTGAGTGCCATGGATATATTATAAATGAAAACGGTATTTCCAAGTTGAAGTTCAAATTCGATGCCATAGAGAATACAAAAAATCTCAAATTAAAGATGACATCCGTATATTTCTGGAAATTGTGAATTAGTATAGGACAAGACTGAACAAGGCTGTTCAACTTGAATTAAATAATATTAAATATTCTGTGATTATATAGACAATGTCGTATTATAATGTATTATTAGCTGGTTTATGAGTGGCTCTACTTAAGCTTAGAAAATACTATAATATTCTGCTAATCTTCTGCTAATTAAACAATTAATAGTGTGTCAAAACGCACCCCAAACGAACTATTCCCACATATAGACCGATCGCTGCTAATCGGTCTGCTAATCGAAAGTACTGAGTTCCAATATTGTATAGCAGAGATCGAGTTTCGTACTCCTATATATACAATGAAAGTAATATGGTAAAATAGACGATAAAAGTAATATTTTCAAAATTATTTTATTTATTTTTGAATGATGAATTTGTTTTTAAAGAAATTTACAGTATATGCTAAATTTTTTTATTTAATATATTGTTATAAATTATTAGTCAAAGAAATATAATTATAGACTTACACAATTTTGTTGGATTTTGAATATTTTATTATTAATTGTATATTAGATGTACAAGAGATGTATTCAAATTTTTATTGTTTTACAATTCGATGTTGGATATATTATAAACGCAATTTAGTATATATATAAATATATTTATATATTTTAAAGTACCATATTTTTATAGTTAAGTTTGAAAGTTTTTTGCGAAGAGTTCAAAAATTTAATTATTGCGTTTATTCACGGCATTTTTCATAATAATTTTAAATATATTTACATGATTTAAATTATTTTTTATATATACTTTTATATATCATTTTTAGCCTTGTTTAATTTTACATAAAATTTATTCTAAAATTTATTTTATTTATGGTATTTCTATTTTATTATGTTCGACTAGAAAATTAAAAATTTAAAATACAATTTAGCTTAAATAATTTGTGTTTCTTATATATATATATTTGTTTTATAAATATATATATAAAAGTTGATTAAAATTATTTAAGTAGGAAACATGAAAATTTAAATAAGCAAAAGTTCTTAATTAAAAAATATATTTTTTTGACATATTTTATATTATAATTGTTAATTAAATTGATTTTCATTTTAAGTTTGTGTATTGTGTAATTAGTTTTTATAATTATTGTAATATTTTAAGGTTAATTGCTTTGTTAATATATAACAACCTTTAACAATTGCAACTGGATTCTTTCTGCCTTAAGTTAATTTAAGTTAATTTAATTTAATTTAATTTAATATATATATGATATATGATACACATGTAAAATCATATAATAAAATTTCTTTGGTTGAAACTACAACTTCTTGTTATATTTAGGAATTCATTATAATTAATATATAATTTGTGCTTCGTCACGTCTTTTCTTTAATTAATTTTAATTAATTAATTTCATTATTTTATTAATAAAAATCTTGGAAAAAATCTTGCATTTATTAATTTTGCAAACATTTCAACTATTTTGGAAGTTAATGTTTAGGCGCATTGTCGGCATAAAATTATTTTGGACTAAAGTTTAAATTGCTTAATAAATTATACTATATAATGTATATACATATTTATATATATATAAACATATATACAAATATATGTTATATTGCTTTTGTGTGTTTATGGGTTAGTTTTATAAATAAGTTCTTAATTTTATCACAGAAAAATAATAAATAAATAATATACGTATAACATGAATAAGATACGGGTATATATTGTATATGTATATAGAATAATGTATATATAGTTAATACATAGGAAAATTTGTTGTTTACACTAATTAAACTTAAATCATAAAGTGATTCTAGTTATACCATATTATATACAATGTTTATCTAATACTTGTAGTAGATATTGATAGTTTAGTTTTGAAACACTTCAAATAATTTTTTCTATGAGGTCATATTTAATATATTTTTTAAAATATATTAATTGGATTTTTTTTTTGTTTTTTGAAAAGTCTATTTTCTTTCTCACATTTTCATCATATTTTTTTATAGATTAATTGCCTATTTTGGCTATTTATGTGTATGCGTTTATGTGGTATGTGTGTATGTATGTATGTATGTATGTATGTATGTATGTATGTATGTATGTATGTATGTATGTATGTATATGTGTGTATATACATGTATGTATATACAATGTATGTGCAATGAAGTAATGGAAGATTCGATAGTCCGTATTTTGGCAAAATATTTTTCATTTGTCATGTGCTATATATACTCGTATATATATATAAGTATATATATATATATATAATGCATAGAGTTAAATTTATTTAATGCGATTATGGTTTGTAATACTTTTAGTCTGCAGCCAAATTTTTGAATAGTAGAGATCATTTCTATATTATATATATTATATATTAATATATATATATTTTATATATTTAATCTTATTAAAATATTTTCAGTTTTAATTATTATTGCAATTAAACAATAAATAATTATAAAATCTCATATTATTTAAAGCAGAGTTTTGTTTCCGAGTAACCAAATATAAATACATATTTAAATTTAACAGTTTAACTTTAGAAATGAAGACAATGTCTCCCTCGTGCAAATTAATTATATGGGTTCTAGGGTCACTTGGTTAAGTATTTAAGGTATAAGATATTTAAGATCAAGATAATCTATTTTATTTAGGTTCTCTCAAAAACAAAAACGAAAACAAGGAGAGGAGACATAAAATAGTGCCATAAACAGATCTAATTTAAGAGAACAACATTATTGTTTTCGAAACTTATGTGATGAAAAAAGAAAAAACACCAAGTTTGTTTCTGAAAAAAAAAACAATTTTCGTTTGCTCCGAGAACTTCTTAACTGTAAACACCTATTACGACTCTAGTGTGATTCTGTAGGATTTATTTTGCTAATCAATATTTCATACATTTTCCTATCAATTATTTTAATCATCTCATCTTATACCCATTTTTGATGTTTTCGCAAAATTAGTTAGTTTAATGATTTATAGGACCCCAAAGCTAATTACAACAACAACAAGAAAATGAACCAAAAACAAAAAAAAAAATATTTAATTAATCATTATTTTAGAGTTCTAAATCTACAAATGTTTTAGTATTCTAAGTTTATTATTTTCTGAGATGAAATACATAGATGATCGATACATATATTTTCCATGCATACTGAAGGTCATCTATCCTCGTTGATTGGGTATAAAGTTGAAAAGGTCTTTAAGTTATAAATTATGTGGCATGATTTCAATTTCTTGGGCACACCCATTTGGTAAAGACAACTAATGTAAGTAACTTTTTCCACTACGCTTTTTGTTAATATAATTAAGTTTTCGAAGGGTAAGCAAACGTGACCGGGATTATGCATTACAAATGATGATGTAGTATTTTTCAATAATTTTGCTCTTTTAATACGTTTAGACGTATTAATAATGAAAGAGGAGATTTATTTAACTGATGATACAATACAGAGAAATAATTGTGACCTTAGTATATTTTTTATACAAACGAACATATAGCAAGCAATTGCGAAACTAATTAATTTAAAAATAATAGTCCTTGGTAATCATGTGTGGAGCATTCAAGTAATTGCAAAGCAATATTTGTATTTACTTAGGGTAAAATGTTACCCGAAAATAAAAATAATTTAGGAGTCAAGATACGTATTGTATTTAAAGTGATAATGTTTAAATGTTTTAGTACTTGAAACCTAATAACCTGACCTATTGAATAAAATAGATATTCAGTCAGACTTCATTGGTCACTATCTTCAAATGTAGTCCCTGATTCGTTTCTAAGCTCCGAGTCTCTTAGTTCCGAGTCCTTATCGAAATTGTTTACTCTTCAAATATATACAAAATATTAAACTTTTGTCGCTCTCGGAAGTGGCTCAAATTTTATAGAAAAAATTTTAAATAATCAAATACTACAAGTGTGATTTTTACTTTATATAAGATAGAAACTGTTATATACACATGTAAGTTGTATGGATGCAAACATTGATAGTTTCCGAATTTCTACTTTTCTACAATACCTGTACAATCATTCACTCATTTATATCACTAGATAAGACTTCTCCACCGTGCCCATATCCCTCTAACATAATAGTTTTCGAAGGTCGAACCGTGGATTTTACCACATATATTATTATATTATATTACTTGGTGTAACCTCAACTAGTAATTACTAGAAAATTACTGATGCCTTGCCTAACAAGGCAATTTTCGAAACAGCTGTATAGTCAGTCAAAAATTCAATTGATTAAAAATAAATAAAAATTTTGTTGTTGCAATTCACTACTGGTCGAAACCTCACTGTTAAACACAACACTTTCTATTAAGTAAAATAGTCACTGTCGTCATAAGTGACATTGAAATCAAATTTAATATTCTGTCTCAAAAGGACCTCATAAACGCTGAAGAGATTTTTTAAATATTTTCATGAGAATAACACCAGCTCTATAGGTTTTCAGCATTTCAAGCGAAGTTTCACGAATTTGCAATTAATGGTCAATAAATAAGGACATTATCTTCTAGGTTTAAAATACTTTTCAACTTAAAACATACATGCAGATCTAACAGAATTAGTTTACATTGTCTAAAAGAATATAGGATGATTTCCATACTTTTCATCGTCTATGATTGCCGAGAATATGGTTTGCAAAAAGCTTAAATGACTCCATGACTTCATGACTTTATGACTTTATGAATGCATGCAATGATTTGTTTATTGATTCAGCAATGTATTTGTGACCTCAGAGAAGGATAACAAAGGACTTCCATCGGCCTGCTGCTCACTACCGAGCGCATATACAGCCGCTGTGTGCAGCAAATGATGATTGTGCGCGTTATTGGCGTGCAGAACGTGACTGCTTCGATGGCTGTTGTTGCGATTGGTGCGGTCGATGTTGGCATTAATCGGCTGCAGAGTGGTGGTGAGTGGAATGGTGGTTTGTCCATCAGCCGATGCAATGACAATTGGTGATGCTATAATCGCTAATTGATGTTGATATGGAGTTATACTGCTGTTGATGTCATTGCTATTAGTGCCATTAAGCATATTTCCTATGATTGTTGTTGGCAACTGACTGGCGGTAGGTGAGGTACATGATGGGGATGAACTGGATGAAGTTGTCGAGGTACAGCCTGTTAAGGGTTGCAATTGATTGTTGTAGCTAAGATGTAATTGTTGTTGTTGTTGCTGATGTTGCTGTTGTTGGCTGAGTAATATCTAAACATTTTTTGATATTTTTTTTTTTTTGGAAAGGAGTAAAAGAAATTTATTGTTAGTTTAAAGATTTTAGCAACTACAAGTTAGATTTAGTTTAGTTTGGTTTACATTTAAAGCTAGATTACAACAACAACAATATTAAGATTAACTGTTTTTATAACTATTTAAGTGTAAAGTGCATACTAAATTTTCTTGCAGTTTTATCGAGCTTAAGAGAACACAGTTAAAGCAGCTAAATTTATAGAGCACCTTTAAATTTTAGGATTTATAGGTACTCCTAGGCAAGTTCGATTAAAATAATAGATCACATAAAAATACTTCAAATTTCTGAGATCGCAAATCAAATCTAAATAAGATAGAATCAGATATAAAAAGAGAGAGGAGATGAATAAACATTTTAATTAATTTTACCAAATATGTGTATTTTCGACTTTAATTTATTATATAAAAACTATTATATATCTACGGTTTTTGCACAACTACTAAATCTTTAGTGTATCTGAAAAATAGACGTTACCGTATGGAAATTTTGATGATATCTAAAATTTTGGAATCAGTTTTCATTATATATATACCTTCAGTAATGTTAACTGTGAACTTGGAGATCATCCCACTAAACAGTTCATTACAGAAAACAAATATATATATTTTCCTTCTACATATTGAAGGAACTATGAACTGAATTTACGAACTGAGTTTAAAAGCAGATACCTATTTTCTAGTTCCTAAGTTAAAGATTAAGAGATTTAAAGACCTTATTACTTAAGCTTCCTAATTCCGATATTAATTTGGAATAAGCTTAGAAGTTGGGTATCATGGAATTTCCTTATTGTACCACTGGTTTGATTTCACAGGCAATTTATACTCGTGTGATGAAAATAATGATACTGCATAATATGCATTTTGCTGCCTCATTTGGTAAACCCAATATTGTTATAGATATAGATAATATTGATTGATCCCGATAACTTAGCTGTTGTTTTACATTATACTATATACCTTTTCTGATTTTCCTGAGCAAAATAAAAGGTGCACAATTAAAAAGCAACAAATCAATCTACAATCTACAGGCAGATTTGTGTGATTGTGAGAACCTCACATGAGGATGTGAGGGCGTGAGGAGTACGTGAGGATGTGAGAACTGGCTACGTGAGCCACTCTTCTTAAGCTTCGATATTTAACTGTTTTGCATTGCAAGTCGTTGCGACACTCACTGAGTGCTACTAGCGTGCGGTAGTGAAGAAGTAGAAGAAGTAGTTGAAGCGTGATGATGGTGATGGTGATAAGTAAAATACTGCGAATAGGAATACTGTGTCGCAGGACTCCATACCTCGTCGTGCGGATGTGGAGGATGATGATGATGGTGATGGTGTAAGTGCGGATGTGAATGCGCAGGATGTGTCGGATGATGCGAATGTGAATGCGGATGCGGATGCGAATGCGGATGCGAATGCGAATGCGTATGCGCATGATGATGGTGTTGTGTTTGAGCATGTGGCGGCATTGTGGTAGCAACTGTTGTTGTTGCTGCTGTAGCTGTGTGTTGATGTTGTGGTGCTACTGTGTTCGATGTAGCATGATGATGAAGAGTATGCTGCATATGGGCTGGAGTTTGCGTAGCATGTAACAACGATTCGGTGCTGTGCTGATGCGGGTGACTATGGTGTGCAGACGTTGTATTAGAATGTTGTTCAGCAACCGAATTATGCGGCACGAGATTGTTGTTTGTTGCATTGCTGTTATTGCTGCCACTGGTGCTAAGACGATTCTGTGGTGAAGTTGTATGCGATGATGCAGAGTATAGGCCAGAATCATCATGTTGTAATTGAAAACTTTCTGGTGTGGTAGCTGTTACTTTGCCTTCCTTTGCACTTCCGCCTCCATTCCATTTTGTAGTTGTCTCATTTTCGTTATTATTGTTCGCGTAGTTGAGACTAGCGCCATTGGATAGTGGTGTGCTTTGTGGTGAACGCTCGGAAGTGTTAATGTGATGTCGGCTGCTCGTACTTATGTTGTTAATGGTATTGATCGGTACACCGCTCGATTGTGTGCCCCACATAAGCACTGTTTGTCGTTCATATGGGTCTTGTGGAGTAAGTTCAACTTTTGGCGTTATGGTATTGCCACTATTACGCGTAGCACTGTTATTAGTTGTGTTGACATTAATAACGTGGCCTGTAACAGAAGCTGAGCTACCGACGGGTGAGGCACCATCTGAGCTACAAGAAACGACTTCCATAACATGCGGTGAAGACTTTGGCGTTTTAAGTGGAATTTGCTATAAAATTGTTTATTATATTGAAACTTAAATGAAATAATAATCAACAGTGAGTTCGGTTACCTGTGGCGTTGAAGTTGGACTACCATATCCGCTACTATATCCACTGTAATACTTCCCCGTATCTTGCCACTTATCTTCTTTTGAAGCAATGGCATAACTATCATAAGAAAGAAAACCATTTGTAACGTACGCCGTAGTAGGAGTACCTGAATGATGATAGTCCGTATAGTAACCGCCGACTCCTTGCAAACGATATTGATGGAAGAGATTTTCTGTTACTGGATAGAAATTACTGGAATGCACAGAAGTGCCCATGTAGATGTTATCAGCAGCGGTGGCATATGGTGATGTTGTATACATGGGATTAAGGTTTGAATAAGCAGCTGCTACTGCAACTGCCGGATCCGGAAGATATTCAACAACTGGTGCAGGCGATGTAACCTATTGCAATAGGTAGGTGTATTAATTCCGTTTTAGTTCTAGCTTTTATTTTCAAAAACTTACCTGACCCAAAGGCGATGTCTGTTGAGGTTGTTGTTGCATTTTGCGTTTTGTACGACAAGTAGAAAGAAAGTCACGCAATTGCGTTTTATAGCGACGATTTGGCCTTGTGGGAGTGACTGGAGGCGGTAGTGCATTCGGAGAACCGCTTGGCGGTACAACCAATTGATCAGCTTCAGAGAAATATGTTGACGCCAAACCAGTATCTAAATAACTAACTTTGAAATCCATAGTACGTTTTCCCAATAGATCATGACCCTCTTCATCCATTAACTGACGATGTGTACATATGACAAAGTCGGGTTTGGAGTTTTTATATACTAAGCGGGAGCTACGTAAATTAAAATAGTTAATTACTACTATAGCACTGTTAGAAAAAAACATGCTCATATAATGCGAATACTAACCTTGTCTGCAGCCATTGCCACTCGCCACTTTTCTTTTGGTACCTGTAAGCTATCATGCCAGAAGCACCAGTTTTCAAAACTAAATTTTGGAAGTAAAGTGCGAGTTGCTATATAAGAATGCAAAAAAAATATACCCAACAACTTACGTTCTTGATGTGCACTTGCCACATATGCCAAATCATCATAGTGTACTAAATCGTAACCACCTAAATTTACTAATTCTGCATCTGAGTATCCTAATATATGCTTGCCTCTATAATAAAATATAAGTGATTTTTAAAACTTTTGTTGGATAGTTTTATTAAGAAAGTTATTTTTAACATTGAAACAATGGTTCACCTTTGATCCATAGAAACTAAAGAAAAATCTAATTTATGTTTCGATTTGAACATATTCTCTTTGTGCGGTATTTCAAGTAGACTAGGTGGTCCAAATGGCGTACAATATGCAAAAAGCGCCAATGGTGGTTCCTCTGTTTTACGATTTTGTCCATGTAGAACTTTGATGCGACCTCGTATGTCCAAACGCAAAAAGCCAGAAGTATTGTCGAGTAAACAGCGAAAACGTACTGTAAAGCTGCGTTCCAAATAAAGAGATTTATCGGGTGCCAGCGTTTCGGCTAATTGCATACTCGACATATCGGCGGGTAAAAAGGAATTCCACAACAATTGACGTTGCAGTTCCTCGCGATCTTCCGAATGGACTAGTTCGTAGACAGACTGGTGTACAATATCAGACTGAAAATATCAAGAAAAAAGGAAAAGAAAAGAATAAATAGAATGAAGTATAAAAACTGTTGTCATAAATTCTCTTCTAAATAAGTTGCTAAAAATGACTCTTTGATGACATTTCCATCATTATTACCATAAGTATTTATTACCCATAAGAGAGTAATAAAATACAAATACATATAAATATATATATACATATAGGAATATAGGAATATTTATATATGTGTAAATCAATTGATTTCATATTGGTTTTTAATTTTTTATGCTCGTTTTCGAGCACCTCTTGGGCTTTTATTAATTTCTGAACGGCAGCTTATAAATCATCCCGCAGTTAAATTAAAAAGCAGCACAGGTATGAAACCAGCTTGGGCGCCTTGGACCAAATTTAGACATAAATTTTTATTGATATATGTTTTTTCTCAAATTGAAAATAAAACAACTGGGGCAAAAAAATTGTTAGCATTCAAAAGGCTGTACGCAATATCTTATAGATTAAGTGAGAAAAACAAACAATAATATCGAGTGAGAGAAAAATGCATATGAGTTATATGGCACCTGTTTATTACATATATTGGTATCAATATAGGTGTCACTCGTCTATATTATAATTCTATTAAAACAGTGCCTTTTTATAATTATTAACAGATGCACTATGCAGATGCACTAGCGAATTAAATTGATTTGTCATGCAACCTGTCTTGGCCTAACCAACTTCCTTCAGTCTATGTTGATATATATAGCATGGCGAATGTCGTTGTAGAGATACACACACGGCCTGAAAACTAATGTAGATAGTACCAGGAGCAAAGAAGATACGAAAACAAGGATTTTATGCAGAAGAAAGCGATGATTGATGTCCATTGAATAACTCTTTTAAAAGGCAAGATTTAATGTTCTTAACAGAATCTATTTTTGATCAACTATCTAGTACTTGTGAGACTCTATATAACAACTAAGTAAGAGTTATTAAAAGGCGAAATTCGGCAAAAACGTTTATTAAAACTAACTCATCTCGAACTTTTTTTAAAACATCCATGATTAAGTAAATTAGCATTGTAATTTCAATATAATTTTGCATAATTTCAGTCAATTTATTGTTGCCAATATGATTTTAAGAGCCTCCGATTTGTTGTCATAATAAGCGCATTTTAGATACACTTAGATAGCACCAGCATGTATGAGTACGTTACAGACATGGTTACACAACATTTTATTGAACATATTGATTCTTAATGCTACCAATAAAATCATTTGTCGATTAAATTCTCTTTAGTTACCGCGTCGATACCCTATGTTTAGCGAAACACTTTAACGTGCACCGCAACCAATAACCAATAACGATCATCATTATCAGGAGCAGTGATGGAAGCAGGAATAAGACTGCAGCAAGGCAGCTTATTAATTTGAGTTGTCCGATGATGATCTTGATGTTGATTATGATCGTTTATCGCTGCCGTATTCACGTATTCTCGTATTCACATATTTACTTGTTCACATATGAATAAGAAAGCAATCAGAAGAAGCATAACTACAAGCCAAGGTTTATGCCTCGGTTGCAAAGTCAATAAAATTTTCTGAAGAATTAAGTGTTATGACCCAGTAAGAAATTTTTTAAAACTGGGCTTATAACTTTCCATACTAAAACAAGATAAAACGTTTCAGATATTGAAAGTAGTATTACAATAACTTAATTAGATTAATATTCAGTAGATTTATTTTTGATAAAACTGACTCTTAACTTGGTTATAGGATTTAGTATTCCAGCGGTTTCTTTCGTCTTTCACGCGGTTATATATATAACATTTTTTATTTAGAAAATTTATTTATTTATTTATTAGAAATCTATTTATTAGAAAATTATTAGTCAATACTATATATATAATTCTTTTAATGACCAGTACTAATGTCTTTGCCTTATTATGTTATAAGGCAACTGATATAAATATTGGTTATATAGCACTATTTCTCTTTTATTGCTTTCCCTTTCTATAATGCAAATGACTCACTCTTAAAGTAGTTTACACAGATAGCGACTCAAAATAACATGTGTTTGTTTAGTTCAATCTTCGTGCTATGTCCACGGAGTCATCATTGTATCATTTTAAAGTACTCCATTTCAAGTTGTCCATTCCTTTTTATATTTCAATTGAAGTCCTGGTAGGAATTGAAAGTTGAAACCCTTTTATCTGTTGGCATTGTGAGTGCTGTTATAATTATCTTAAATTTCAACTCTGTCTTTTTCGAATCCTTTACTAACAGACAGATTTATTTTCATTATTTTTTATATGAAGTTCATAATGTTTACCTGTGAATATAGCAGTCAACATTATAGCTTCCGGTAATATATAATCTTAAATTATACATTATACTGGGACATGGTTTATATATTCATCATTCAGTGTTATTCGCTAGCATAAGCTTCAAAATATATTTAATTTATTAGAAATCACTTAATTATCCACAATTAGATGTCATGGATTAAAATCTGTTTAAAAAATATTTTTTTTTGCATTTCTCTAGTTTGAGTTATACTTTAGATTTTGATAAAAGTTGTGAGTCCATATTTCATTCTTTATTGCATATTCTATGGTCTCTACAACTATAATAAAAAAATTTTAGTACGTGCTGTTTTGTTTTCTCATATACGTTGTTAATTAATAACAAAATATATATAACATATATATATAATATATATGTATATAATAAATAAAATATACATATTTTAAGAGTATATTTAACTGCAAATGTTGGAGAGATACAACAGTTATGAAAGCACAGGAATACCAAGCAGCTGAGCGAAATGGTGTCTTATTGCGAAATCAATTTGGCTGGACTACAATTAACATTCTGATCGCTAATCGGGTAGTCAATTAAAAAAAAAAATTTATTCGCCTAAAGACGAACAATAGATTATGGTTAGAAGAAATTTAGGAAATGGGACTTTTTACAAAAAAAATAAGAAACTACTTCAGAAACGGATATTCGATCGTTTTTAATCAACAGACGAAATATGGACTCTTTGTTTAGGGACCTATTTTTTTAGTAAAAAATTTCAATATATGATACAGTACTATTCTGTTACTATGGGATACATTATTACTTGGCTTTTATTTTCAATTTATTTTTCTTTCATGATACAAACGAATATTATTCCGTTTAATTAAATTACATAAAACCAAACCCGATACAAAGTAGAAACATACATTGGGTCACCTAAACATTTTTAGTTCAGTAATTGTGCTATGGGATCTTACTAATACTGTGTAGATATCATGAGGAAATGTAAATCAGATCAGCGGGTGTATTGCAGATTCGTGAAGCCAGGGTAGCAGCAGGGTCTTGAATCATACAATAACAACGTTTCGTACAACAACATTTTGGCACATAAGGAGCTGATGCAAAAGGAGCTAAGTTAAGAGCTAAGCGATGCAATTCAAAAGTCTATGAATGCTGACAAAGTCGAAATAGATATACAGTAGCGGATTTATGTATAAATCAATTGGTTTTCTATTGTTTTAAGACAATTAATGTTGCTACAGTATCTTTCATTAGTTCTAAATAATCCGGCAGTGTGTTGTTCAAGGAAATCTCTCATTGATTTATTGTATTATAGTTTCTGCAGTAGAGGATTTCCCTGTTGCTATAGAGGATTTCTCCTTGTTGGTGTTGTTGTTATTGTTGTTGTTGTTGCAACTCACATACGCACAAGTGTTGGTACATTAGCAGTAAAGCTCGCAGTTGCAACGTCGTCCTACCTGCCAGTCTGCCCACAGGGGAGTGTACGTCAGTTTATTAACTTGTAGCATTGTTTGTTCTTCCTTGCACTTAATATCGAAATGTGCATCAATTGAAATGTTCGCATAAATATTAGTTTGTTGTTGTTTGTTGTTGGTTGTTGTTCTTGTCGCTTTTGTTGCTATTGTTATCTGGCAAATTTGCAAGCTGCACTTATGCTTCCATCAGCAAACATGATTTGGGTTGTTACTCTTTGTTGTTATTGTTTCTGTTTCTGTTGCTGTTGCTGTTGCTGTTGTTAAGAAGGATTATGTTTATCTTACTAACTTATAAATTTTTCTTCTTCATTTCAGTTATGTTTATTTTTGCTGCTGCTATTGTTGTTGTTGTTGTTGTTGTTGTTGTTTTAGTTATTGAATTGTACAATTTCAAATTGCTTTTAAAATTTGTTTGTGCATTTTAATTTGCTTGTAAATGTGTAAAGCAGCATTTGATACGCCCACTTTAGCAACTCAATTAAAAATTAAGATACTGCAACGATTGTTGCATTCGAAAGTTCATTAAACGTTCAAATTATTGTTGTGTATAAAGAATTATATATATATATTTTTTTTGGTATACAAATATTAATATATCAATTCATAATCGCTTTGATTGCCAATAAAAGGAAAAATAGAACCATTGTGTAAATGCTTAAAAATTTGAAAATAATCGAGCGATATTCCGATAAATACCAATTTAAAAGCAATAAACTAAGTTAAAGTTCAAAAAACTATTAAATATTTTTAAATATTTTTATTATGTTGAGGCTAGTTGAGTCAGTGCACCTGAGCACTTTTACTCTCTATTAACAGCGAGGTTTCTTCAAAACCTCTCTTTGCGCCTTGACTGGATTATTGTTTATCACTTCATTAAATATTTTTAATAACACTAAAGTTAATTTTGTTTGTAGATGACTTAATTTTTTCGGAATATATCAAGAAGTCTGAGCGATTGTCTATTATCAAGGAGGCGGGATGCAAGCGACAGTAACCTCTACGACAGGTGCACACTAGCGGTTAAAAAAGCTCAGTGGCGTCACTCTGCATCATATTGAGCAGCGCCGTTGATAAAGTTTTTACCGTTCAAATCACTGAGTAGCGGCACTGATCGTTTTTTTCCGGTAGTGTGCACCAGGGCTTAAGAAATTCTTGCTTAAATGACAACATTATCTACTTGTATAATTTATGGCATCAGAATTATATTTTTAAAATGCTTGTTAATCAATAATAACTATAAACACAATAAACTTTGAGATCATATTAAAATCAGTTATGTTTAAAACGGCTTATATCATTCCGAAAAAAAAGCAAACACCGCTCTCAACCTAAGCAAGAAGAGTCTAAAGTCACTCTCTGGAGGACTAACAGGCCACGCCGCATGTAAGATACACCTACATAAAATAGGTATATCAGACGCTAATATTTGCAGATTCTGCTGTGATGAGGAAGAGTCTATGGAACATCTGATCACCAACTGTGATGTACTAGGCCACAGAAGAAACAAAATTTTAGGTTCATACCAACTAAAGGATGAAGACCTTCGCAAACTCCCTCCGAAGAAGCTGGTTCGATTCCTCAAGATACTAAATATCTAAGTACAAAAGGGTGCACAATAGATTAAACTGGTCGCAGTGCATAGGGGCCTTACCTTAATCCCAAAAACGCCCAAACACCATTACCATTACCAAAATCAGTTTATTTTCCTATTTTAACAGTCGAAACGTTCGCCAAAGCAAACGACTGACTTCAAACTTTTGCTATAAACAAAGTAATTGAAAAATCAAATGCAATTATATGAAGCATTTGCTGTACCAAATGGACGGATACTATGAGGCAATATTGGTTTTATATTACTATTATATAAAAATACTTTGTACTCTGGGCACAGCAGATGAGCCTGTTGTTAATGAGCCAGTGTAACTTAACACCCTAAAGCTTTATTTATAGCTTTCTTGAGACAATGGGCTTGCATCTAGTTAGCCGCTTCTTTCACTAAATGTTATTTAGTGAAATTTCTTGAGATTAGTAAGTAAACTTTAAAAAAACTTTAGGATGGGAACTTTTTGTAAATTAAAAATTGTTGTAATCAAAGATACTTTCAACTCTATTGGGTTATATCGAAAGTGTTGTTTTAATAAACTTAACTACAAATTTGTACAAAATATTTATCATTTGTGATTTAGGATTATCACACATTACCATAATATTGGAATATATCTCTAAAAAATGTTCTTATTGGCGATTTACTAAGAATTTCGTTTTGGTTTCTACAGAAGCTGATAATACATATGTATGTCACTACTTACTTATACCATAACAACTTAAAAATTTAAATTAATTTTCAATTGTTTAACAACAATTAAATTGCAAGAAATCTTAAAATACCGTCCAAATGATATTAGTCGATTCTCCACAGTACAAACCGCAATCTAAAGTCTAGTAGCTACATGCATAATGATTGGTAATCATTTTTCCTGTCCCTCATTCTTTCTCATTCTTTTTTATGGCACCGAATTCATTCATAAGTAAATTTTGTTTCAAAAAAAACGAAAATATCCAAATTTTTTCTTATTAATAAAAGTAATTAAATATTTTTATATTGATGCTTTGTTATTTTTTTTTGTAGACATAACCTAGAAGATGACTGACCTGATGAAAACCCAAATAGCTCTCTATGCTGTGTGTTGCGAAGAATACTTCACCTTCGCATGTGAGTATCATAAGAAATCCATTCAAAGCCTGAAAAAAATAAATAAATTAATAAAATTAGATATTAAGCCAGGTACAGAAAACTATCAATATTTGAATAAAAATATAAAAATCAGAGACTAGTTTAAATCTAAACATTTGCATAAAGCGTATAATGTTTTTTGTTGGCATTTAATTGTTGGCATGTAGCTGTCATAGATTTTTGATCACATTGATATAGGTACCATTCTGATTTGTACCAAAAAAAAAAAAAAATAAAAGAAAAAATTTACCAAAATTAAAGTAGAGAAAAAAAAATAAAATTAATTTTTGTTAATAAACATAATAAAAAAATTGAAAAAAATCCGGTCTAAGAATTTTCTATTTTGGAAAGCAGCAAATTATAGACCAAAACACAAAAACGTAATTTAATATAAAATTAAAATCAAACGATTCAGTCTGATGGACGGACGTGCCACATACTCGTATGATTTGAAAAGACAAAATAATTGCTAAACCGCCAAAGGTGGCTGGCTACGGCTCATATCAAATCGGGTGTACTTGGCTGCGTCGTCAATTGTTTTGAATACTTTAATCCATCATAATTTTTTCTTCAACCCACTTTGTAGTTCTTCTTCTCCGAGTATCATTACTATTTCAACAGTGGTAGGAATTGAATGAAATATACAAAAAAATATAAAAAAAACCAAATAGAAAAGAAAAGAAGACTTTCTTGACTCTTGGCGCTAACTTGCGGCTAAATAATAATCAACGGTTCACTTTACAATACCAGTAACAACAACAACAGTCCCAACTACACAACAACAACAACATTAGCGTCATTTCGTAGTTAATAATAATTCAAACACATTCAAAATTCACGTAAACAAAAGAATAAAACAATAATAATAATGCCAACGATCAACGATCAACGATCAACGCACTGAGATCCACATCAAACAAAACCAGGAAATGATACGTAATTAAACCAATGGGCCTCTTCTTTAACTTTGCGGAGAAGTTGCCTATATGAAGCAACCGCGCAACAGTCGCAGCCGGCGCGACGTAGCAGAGAATACTTCAGCTTCTTTGCTTTGTTTTTATTGTTTTTGTTTTTATTTTTGTTGTTGCTTTTGTTTATTTTAAAGCATTTCATTCATAATTTCACTTGCTGTTGAATGAGTTTTGTAGGACATTGTATGCGCATTTGAGTATGTAGCGTACACCTATAATTATAGTACGAGTATATCTTTTAATAATGAAAAATTTTTTATTCTCATTTTTAAAATAAATGTGTGTGGATATATTAAAAATGTTACATTTTGTTTTTCTTTTGAGTAATGATAAGGATATACACGTACTTGTTTGTATGTTACGTAAAATCACACCATACTATACTAACGAATTAACAAACAAACAAACAAACTACAGTTTTATAAAATGAGGTATTTCCTATTAATTACAGATATCAAGATTTAAAATAAATTTGAATTTAATTACGGTCGACTACTGTTTTACATTCGACTTAATATGTTTTTAATATTTAAAAATAAAATGTGTTAATATTAAATGAATTTTTAATTTCATATAAAAGAAATATTTTTAATTTTAAACACACTATCGCATTTACTAATAAAATGAAAATTTATTTCGGAAGTGTGTCAGTGTTGCCAACTAAAATTATTTGATTTTTAAATATTTCTGTTAAATATAGAATATAACATTATGTTGCAATGTAGAACTATTTTATGATTCTTCGTAAATGCTGTCAAAATCAGGAGTTATTGAAATTACATTGACAAACATTATTTTATTATCTCCTATTATTCATATATTTTGTTTTGTTTCTAATTGCTTGTACTGATTTAAATACAATAACTTATTTTTATACATTATTTTGATCATTAAAAAAACCCCACTTAAGGTGGGATTCGAGTTAGCTTAATTGCTACTTTATGTCAAAGTGCATATTTGCAATTTTTAACATTAAAGGCACTAACAATTCTTTATTGACCGTACGAATTGTTATTCTTGTAGGTTATAATGTATTTGATAGAAATAATAACAAAGAAGTAAAGTTACACAATCTGTTTCAAATCTAATGAGACTTAGTAAAGTGACATCTATGAGTGAAAATGATGTGTGAATAGTCTACATTTTATCTACTTACTTCCGCTCACCATTTTTTAGTAACTTAACATTTTATGTTAAGTCACTTGTGTGCGTCTGGCAAAACAAACAATATTGAACAAAGAGATAATATTAAATTCTTCAAAATTGTTTTATATAACATTAATTTATGTTTTTAATTTAGATATGAATCGATAACACATAGAGACAATGTTCAGACTACCAGCGACAACAAAATGTACTACGAAAAAAATAACAACTAAGATGTCAATACATTATGTAAGGCCCTAATTTTTTTAAATTAGTCAATTATTTTTCAATATGTTTAGTTATTTGAGTAAACAATTTTAAATAATTTTTTCTTAACAGAATATAAGGTAGGTTATTACAAAAGAAAGTCTTTTTAAAAATTTGATTTAAAAAGCCGTATAATTATAAAAAAGGTTTAATCATCAGTAATAAAGTCTAAAACTGGAATTTTCTCTTGAAATATCAAATAATAGATTTAGGCTAGATATCGACAACTACACCTCATAAAGTCAATGCATATCAATTTCATAATTATAGGATTAGCTACGGAAGAAAACGTCATATTGGCATGTACAGGTTTATTATTAAAAATATAAAACGAAGTTGATGGAAAAAAAAATTTGAAATCTCGGGAAAAAATTTAATATACTCATTCCAGAATGTACGATAAAACAAAATAGCACTTCTTGTACGAATACCATTGCCCTCACCTGGAGAGTAAGGATTGCCAGAAAACCAACTTCTATCTTATACTACATTCTAGGTCTCCTATATAAATATTCCCGGTTTCGAAAGTGAACAAAATAAATTATACTTATTTTAAAATTTGATAAAATTTTTACTTCAATATGTTGTTTGAATTTTTATAATGTCCTACACGGTACAATTTTCTGTACATAAGTTAGAATAAGTTAGAACATAAGTTAGAACAATTATTATATGAAAATATCACAGTTTTCATGAAAATTAAAAGAAAGACTTGAATAAAACATAAATACCTTTAAATTATCATTAAAATATCTAATACTAATATCTAACCACTAATAATATCTATCTGTAAGGTTAGGAGATCGCAGAATACTGACCTACTTATAAGAACATGTGTTAAAAAATCTCTGTGAAATCTGTGAAATCTGTGAATCTTGCATTAAAAGTATTAAAAAATAATAAAGTTCTTGTAATAATTAAGATGAATTTGATTTGCCTTAATTACGACATGAGAGTAATTTGTAATATTTTTAAAGCAGTTGCAATTAATCCAGAGTATTTAAATATCACTTTCAGTTGGGAACTGATGAACATGCAGCTCCACGTAAGCCACAAGCGGCCACAACCCCGCTATTAAGAACTCACAGGCAAACAAATTAAGTGAAGGAGACAAATGAGCGCGTTTGCATGGAAGCGTTCATACCACACGCAGTCCATTATGTGGAGAACGCAGTTTGGTGGATATCTCAAAAATTGACTAAAACGTTCGCAATGCATCATTAACGCCGCAAAGGTTTCAAAACTCGGCTTAAAGCAATAAAAGTTTGCAAATTTCAGCTGTAAATTTAATTTGTAGCTGTGCTATGAAAAAAGTGTTTCCGAACGGAATACCTACAATATTGCTCAACTAAAAGGAAGACGAAGAACGCGTTAAAAACTACCATTCAGCATAATAAAACCAAGCTCATATAGTTTATATGATAAAATGTTAAGTGGCGTCATAATTTAAAATGCATCAGTCCAAAAATATAATACACAATACAAAAAGAAGGATATTATATGTCATAATGCCTCTGGCTTATTTCCGCCGAAACAACAGCAGCGTTGCCAACGTCATCAGTCCTTACCACCATCAATAATCGTCATAAAGATCACAACTCATCAAAGCCAACAAAATTTCTGTGACTCTGAGTTGTGCGCTCTGTTCCGTCTGTGCAGAGTGGGGAATTTATGCTTGTAAAACACCACTGCGTTTGTGTTTGTATTAAGCCTAGCTTTATAGGCAATGAAACGGATTTTGTGAATTTGTTGTTGCTTCGTTGTGTAATTGCCTTGTGATTACGTTGAAATGTTGTTTTTTTATTTTATTTGTAATAATAATTTTATTTTAGGTTTTAATGCAATAAAACATTTCGATGTTTATTTATCTTTTTTTCGTTTCAGTCTTCATTGAGTTTTCGTTTTACATTCCATGGTTACTTTGTTAATCATATTAAAATTGCTCTTTTCAGAATCAGTCGCCTATTATTGTCTCTGTGATCTCTCATATTGTTTTATAATGCGTTTTTAATAATACACGCCTTTGAGGTAAAAAATCTAACTTAAAGCAACAGAAATTTTTTCAATATCATAGAAAAGGTGAAATGCAGTTTATCAAAGAGTTGAGATTAGTATTTTATATGTATGCCTCGTGACATGGAGGGCTGAGAATCTCATTTCCATACTCATATATGGATATGCAAAAACTGCAAACGAACATTGAGACATTAGTTGTTTATTTCAAATATTTACAAGCTACTAATGACATTTACAGATTTTAAGGAAAGGTTGAAATCTTAAGCTACACATAATACGAGTATTAATAAACAAAACTGCTTATTCATTAAATTAACTTATTTTTACTTCACATTTACATTACGAATTATATTAATTATATTATATGTGCAATATGGTATATCAAGTAATTCTTATTTTGTATAACATAAATATATGAGATTTGTTTGATAACTGAATGGAAAATGAAAAATTTTATCAAATAAACTAGAACCTCTATAACCTCAATGTTATTTCAATTTTTTCTTATGCGTCAAATTAGTAATCGGTGTAGCAGTCTTTATCTTGCCGAAAACTTCTATATATGCCAAGCCTTCTGTAAAATATTGCCGCGATGTTCTATCATTTAGGCATTCCAGACCTTCAACATCTTTGGTTCGCATATGAGCACAGAGAAACTCTATAAAACAGTAAACCATTCCATGTGATGTTTCAGAGTCTCCATATTACTCGTCAAGCTTTATTTTTCATTCAGAAAGTGCTTTTTTTTAATAACTTTCACTAAATCAAGAAGAGAAATTTTTATTTCTTACTGTCTTCAGGCCTAGCATTTAGAAATTTTTAAACGGATAACTATTAATCATAAAAGTGTAATTTTCCACCAAATTTTCAAAAATTCTGTTTTGCCCTGAATACCTGACTTGGTTTACATATTTACGTTTCTGATGTATTAAGGATATTCCTGCGATTATTATTTATATTTTTAACTTAGATCCTTATAGGATTTGGCAAATAATTCAACATTATAATCATCCAAATTGATTTAATGGTGCTCTTGTTATAAGACAACTTTCTACTTTCAGGAAATGGATTAGGAGGATATGTTAGTAGCTTAAAGTTCTCTTTGGACTTTTTTGTTTTAATTAACTAATCTCAAAACTATCTGCTGGTAATATGATACTATTTGTTTAATATAGAATCAGTGTTTAGGGTAACTGCCGGGGAAGTGCCCTTATTGAGGGTATAACTGACAAGGCAAAATTTTTGTTCATATACCATGATACGTCATAAGACTCTAAATTATAATAGTTCTTTAATAATCAATATATTTTATGCTATTATAATAATTATAATTATCCGCTTTCAAATTACTGCGATTATCTTCCACTAGTCGTACCCATGCTTGCAATAACTGTCTGGTCAGCCATTATTAATACTCATACGTAATATATTATATTATATATTGGTTAGATAATATGTTAAAAAGCTGATTTTGCTTACATTTAGATACAATTTTGTCTCATCTTGGGTTACGTTTAATCATTTCAAAAAATCTAAATCAGTGTTATTAAGCTTTTCTTGTTTTAATTTTAAGTTTTACATATAGTACAACATATTTATTAAAAATTTGATTGAAGTGTAAATTTTTGAGCCCCGCATTTTGCTTGTTTATCTTTAATTAATAATTTTTCTAAATTAAATTATTCGCAATGGGTGGACTGTCTTGCATAATCTAGTTCAAAATTGCAAAATTAATATAATTTTCAACTGAAAACACATAGATACATAAATATTAATGTGAATATTCTGATCGAAATAAAAATTGCAATGTAACGAACAACAACAATAACAACGCGCCACTTTTCAAAATACATTGCCTATGTTTTTCTAATTAGAATTTATTATTTAATTCGCATGCGCAAAAGCAGTTAACAACTGTTTAAGAAGAAAGAGAAACATTTTTCAAGTCAAATCAAAGTCAATTGCAAACGCTTTAGCATGAACAACTGAACAATTGAACAACTGCAGAAGTAAACTGTAGAATATAAACAATAACAACAACGACAACAACTGTGTGAGGGGAAATCATCAAATTATATGCCTACAAATTTTAAATTGAAAATTCATAGCTAAATGTGCTAAAATGAGGTGGAAATCCACGCAAGTCTAAACAAACACTCAATCAAAAACATATGTATATAGACAAACCATATTTATGAGCGTATGTGTGTATATGAGTATGTGCATGTCCATTCGTATAAATAAGGAAAACTACGCGTGTTGCGTATAAGATAAATACATAGGAGATATGAGAACTGTTTACAAACGCATAACTAATAATGCTAATATAACTGATTTAATGATAATTATGTTCAAAATGGTTGGCACGGACATTTTATACCACACCAGTCAAGTTGCTGTTATTGTTTTTGTTGTTTTCTTTTAACATTTACAAGTATAGACGGCAAAGATACGAGTCATATCACAGCGAGTAAAGCCGTACCAACGATTAGAGGTAAATTTAGTTTATAAATTTTATATTAATTAAAAACGAAGAACTGAAAATTAAATATGATATTATATTTTTATAAAAATTAATATTCGTCTGTTGATTTGATTACCATAAAAATGCGCCAAGATACTGTATGTTTTTCTATTTTCTAGAATAGAAAGATCTCTAGATAGAAAGTAAAGTACGGCTTTATTTGTATGAGCTGTATCATGACTTATACTAATTAAACCATAGCAGAATTATAAAGGTATTACTGTGCACTTACTACTAAATGGTTTGTGTGCTGACCCGCATAAGAATGAAATTGCACACTAATCACATTTCTATACCAACGAATCAAATTATAATAACCAATTATAATAAATCAACTCATGTTTTAAGTTCAATATTTCAAAATTATATTTAAGAATCAACTGAACTACTGCAAAATAGTGTGTTTAAGGCAAGAGTTTTGTTAATATTCTGTGACAGCCAGGCAGTTATCAATACTTCAGGCTCTAAAACTTTTGAAGAAACTATTTGGGTAATATGTAATATGTCGCGAATGTGGCAAGATTATAGCATC